GAGCTAATTAGGACTAAGTTATCCTAGTAATGTCTAATAGCTAGTAGTCTAAACAGGTCTTAGGGATATAAGATTAGAATTCTTAGGTTAGGCTAAACTTTTTTATAGCCTTATTAAGGTTTAGTAGGCGTACTTCTTCCTTAATATTTACTTAGTAGCTAAGAAATTTACTAATCTAGCTAAACTTAAACTCCTAATAGCGCGTTATAGACAGACTAAACTTACTTAAGACTCTAGTAGCGTAGTTAAGAGGGAGCCTCTTAACAAGGTAGAAGCCCTTTTTCTTGCTCTTAACAGTACCTACAGAGATGCATTACTCTAATCTAATCTTAAACTCCTTAAGGTATTATTAGATATTAAGATCCTTCCTTAACTAGTATTTGCAGAGCTACTGTTTAAAGAACTTAATTTATTCCTCCTGTTAGGCGCTATTATTACTTCTGAATTTGCGTTAGAGGGCTTCTCTTAGTATATCCTAGTCTTTGCCTTTAAGGGCTGTTTAGTATTCCTTAGAGTAATAAATAATATTCTTCTACCTTTACTAGCAGTAGGTAATTACTTATTAGATCTTGTTAATCTCTAAGAAGCTATAATACAGAGTAACTTCCTTATATTACTTAATAAAAACAGTAACTTTAGTACTATTAAAACTTAGTATATACTTAGTAGGGAAAGGTGCCTAGCTAAGCTTTAATTAGTTCTAAACAAGCATTACTATTATTTAAGCTATATTTACTAGAAACAGGGCAGTTAGGTTTATTAATTTAGTATTAGGCTTTAGAAGTTTTGCCTTACCTTTAAATAGGCTAGGAGTTTTATTATTACTTAAGTTGTTCCTAGGTTTTTCTCTCTAGGCTTACGTTAGAGGAGCTAACAATTAACCTACGTTAAATAATAGATACTTAGTAGAAGGGTTAGTGTTTAGGGTATAACCTATTAGCAAGAGATTATTAGTTATCTTAAAAATAAGAAAGGTATAAATAAGAATTGCAAAGATAAGTAATAAGTAAGCAGTAAGAACTGTCTTAACTGCTATAGAAAGAAGAAGTAAAAATCTCTAAAAGGTCTTTGTAGTAGAAAAGATTACAAGGAAAGTTATTATTACTATTATATATCTCTTCTTTGTTAGCAAGCTTCTTACCTTATTTATTCTTCTCCTTTTTATCTACACCTAGCAGCACTTACTACCCTTAATCTCTTCCTTCTAATTATTCCTTAGCTAATTCTTATTGCTAAAGAGTACTTAAGTATAACTGTAGGTTGTGCACTAATTGCATAAGTTTTATAGTAGTAAAATAATCTCTAAAAGTTGTCTAAGCGTAACTAGTATACTAGCTATTACGTTAATAGCTTCTTTAGAGGCAACTCCTTAGTTTTCTAGGTCTAGCACAATCCCTAGTTGTAAGGTTGCTAAATTTCCTAGAGGTATACTAATACCTTGTTAAGTTCTTAAAGTACTATTTCTTAGGTACTAAATATAATCTAGTATTGTACCTATCTTATATTAGTCTTTTAATCCTTAACTTAGACTTACTAAAGTCCTATTATTATTACTAAAAATTAATTACTCTCTAGATAAATGTATTACAAGAACAATTTAGTATCGTGCCTAAATAGCTATAAATAGAAAGCTTCTTTATTCCCTGCGTAGGTTACTATATGTAGAGGAGAGGTCTTTAACGCCTCTTTAGGCACGTATAGCTTAATGCTAGATAGGATAAGTATATTATTAGTTAATTCTCTGTTAAGCTCCTATTAGAGGCTTAATTGCTATGTACTAATCCTAGATTACATAACCTGCGTTATATAATCTTACTCCGATACTCCTTTAGATATACTTCCTATGTTGCTCTACTACAGTAGGCTTACTAAGGCTACTAATTAAATAGAAATTATAGCTATAGTTAGGATTCTAGTATAAAGAAGAAGTAATAGGTCTTTTAGTTTATACACTGCTTTAGTAGCTCTTAGGTATACTAGTTCTTTTTTATCTTATTTTTCTTTCTTCTATTATAGAAGGAGAGCTAGCTCTGCTACTACTAAGTTAATAGGTAGAATAGGTAGAATTAAGATAAGGTTCTCTAGTTTATTATAGCTTAATCTACTATTTTAGTTTATATTTAGGTTTATAGTACTATCTATACCCTTAACCTATCTTACTATTAATAAGAATAATAGTTAGGGTTCTACTATTAGATATCTTATAGTAGGAATCTCTAAGAGGGTTTCTTATAGAATTTAGGTACCTTTATCTTACTTATTATCCTATAAAGAAGGGTTCCTTACTTTTATTTAGGCAGTAGAACCTTAGTTAGTAGTTTCTAGTACTAATATTTTAAAATAGGTTACTCTATAGAGTAAGTAATTTAAATATAAGATCTTAATATAATAAGTAACGTATTTAGAATATATAGTAGTAGATTAGTAGAAATAGATAAATTACTATAGACTAGTTCTATAGCTTCTAGAGAATATATACTACTATACTAGTATATATAACTTCTCTTACAGCACTATCTACTCTAGAAGCTTAGTAGGGCCTAATAAATAGAGAAGGTAGGTTAGAAATAGGTATAAGGTATAAGAAAGAGAGAAGAGGATTATATAGTAAGGTAGAATAAGAAAGGTACTTAATATAGGTATAGTTTTATTAGCTAATACCTTTACTTTAGAGTTTAATAAGTTAAGACTAGGTTAGTAAGGTAAAGTTATATTAAATTATTACTCTACCTTTATTATTATTATTATATTTAAACTTACGTTTTAAATATTCTAGTATAAAGAAAGGTATTTCTAGTATTATTATAAGTTAAAGTTATTTTACTTTCTTTAGTTTACTTTTATATCTTAACTCTTAAATCTTACTAGGTTAAAAGTAGACTATTATATTCTAACTTCTACCTTTTAACTTATGTATTTTGCTAGGCTAAGAGTATACTTTTATATCTTAACTTTTAAACTTTACTAGGTTAAAAGTAGACTTTTATATCTTAACTTTTAAATTTTACTTTATTAGAAGTAGACTTTAGTATATTACCTTTTAAATTTTACTAAGTTAGAGGTAGACTTTTATATCTTAACTTTTAAATTTTACTAGGTTAGAAGTAGACTTTTGTATCTTAACTTTTAAATTTTACCTAGTTAAAAGTAGACTTTTGTATCTTAACTTTTAAATTTTACACTAGTAATATATATTATATATATACCTATTCTATAAGAATTTTAAACTAAAATCCCTAATCCTAATATATATAGGTTAGAGGTAGACTTTTATATTTTAACTTTTAAATTTTACTAGGTTAAAAGTAGACTTTTATATCTTAACTTTTAAATTTTACTTTATTAAAAGTAGACTTTTATATCTTAACTTTTAAATTTTACACTAGTAATATAGATTATATATATACCTATTCTATAAGGATTTTAAACTAAAATCCCTAATTCTAATATATATAGAGTAGTTACTAGTATAAATTAAATAAATTTACTAAAAATCTATAGTACTAGTTTTTCTTTACTTATAGTTCTTTTAGTAGTATACTTAGAGTTTTTAAAGTATAGGTAGTAGTATAGGTATTAGTAGTTAGGCCTACTAAGCTTTAAGGCTTTACTTACTAAGATTTTACTAGGCCTAGCCTATTATAATAATACCTATTTACTTATATATAATAGGTAAAAGCTTATTTTATTTTTATATATAGTATATAATACTCTAGTACACTAGTATATTATAGTATAGTTACTAATAAAGCCTATAAACTAGAAACTATATTTACTTCTATATTTACTTCTAGAAGTTACTATTATAGTACTTATACTATAAAGAGCTTAGAAAATTCTACTCTTAACTAAGTAAAAGATATAACCTAAATTACTATAGGTATAAGTATCTAAACTTCTAAAGTAAGTAGAGGTCTTAATTTTACTAAGGTTAATTTAATAGAAATAGAAAAAGGTACTACTATACTAAATTAAAATACACGTCTTATTTAAAATACTTAAAAAGGTAATACTTTACTATACTCTAAGTAAGTATACCTATAAATACGTCTATATATAAAATAAAAATCTAATAGATACCTTCTAGTCTACTAGCTTAGGCTAGTATAGTTAAAGATTATAGACTCTAGTACCTTATAAATATAAGTGCCTAAGTTAGCACTAAACATAACTAGTCTAATATCTATATAGTAATAAAGGCTTATAACTATTATAAGTCTTATTAAAGATATTAATACTCTTATATAGCAGAAGCTTAACTATCTATCTCTAGTAGATTAGATATCTAGAGATATAATAAAGGATAATAAATAAGCACGTAATACCTTAATAAATACGCTAGTTAATCCTAACAACAATACTATCGTCTAGAAAATAGAAAAGTACTACTAAGAAGGCAAATCTAATCGCGGTAAAAACCTTAACAAATACAATAACTAGATTAGGATAAATTTTCTAAACGACAAAGATTCCGTTCTAAAGGCCGGTACGCTCTTTGGTAGAACCGAACATGATTAGAAAGTAGGCTTTGGACTGTTTATAGGTAGTCTTAGAGAGCTTTCTCTGGCGTAGTTTGTAGACGAGGAAGAGCGGTCCGACAGCGATACCTAGTTTACAAGCAAAGATAGACCAACAAATATCTAAGTAGCCTTCTTGATAAAATGCCGAAAGAGTAGATTGAAAATTGTCTTGATCACTTTGCGCATTGAGAAGCGATAACTGGAAGGCACAAGAGGTTTACGTTAATAGGATTGCCAACAATGTTCGCACTCACAATCTCAGCGGTATAGTAGATCTTCTCAACAACTTGGTTCATGTTTTTTTCGGCATGTCTTCGTTGCAAGAGAACGTAATCAATTCAACGATCTCTGGAAATTTCATAATCACATCCAATGAGAGTAAGTCTCGATTCAATTTTACAAATGCTGTTAGTGACAGCGCTTATACATCTAGCGTGTTTCAACTCTTTGAATTGGTAAATAGTTATAAAGAGCTGTATTTTAATCGTCTGCTTCGCTTGCAGGAATGCACGCAACGCCGATATCTCCTTGGATGTTCTCGCAGACAATCTGAGGTGGACCTCCAGCCGGGCTCGTGATATTGATTCCTTCGAGATGAATCCCATTACAAGTCGCTCCCGGACTGCATGTGAGATCTGCAACGACCTTGCCATTTTTCCCGCTGCTCGTCCCATAGATGTTGAGGAAGTTGACGTTGGTAATGTTGACCTTACTTGGGTTCGAAGCGCACGTAGTCTCGTTGATGTTGAAGTAACACTGGTCCAGTACGACGGGTGCGTCTGTGTTCTCAATGTGGATGTCTTTGTACGTAATGTTGTCAATGTATCCATAGCCGACATTGGGGCCAGCCCAGGCTTTGAGGCGGGCGCCGTTCTGGCCATTGAGCAAAGTGATGTTTTCCAGCCAGGCGTTGCTGATATAGTCTTTGACACCAGGATACTGGCCAATAGAACCCATAGAAACGCCGTGCGTGCCGTTGCACCAGAGATTCTTGACGAATATGTTCGTAGTGTTGGGCTTTGGGCTGAAACAATCGTCGCCAACATTGACACGGGTGTTGGTAACGGTCAAGCCGTCGACGTTGAGTGAGTCGAAACCGTCGGTATTCTTGGGCAAAGACTGTATTGGAATGTCAATATGAGAATACTCACGCAATCGGAAGATCTGGATTTACCGATATGTTGGTTGAGACAGCGTCAATGTAGATGTCGTCAAACACAACGTTCTTTGTGCGCACCAGAAAGGTAGTCCAGCATGGAGAGTCTTTGAGATGAAGTCCAGCGATCTCGATATTGGTCGCGTTATCTGTGAGGAACAATATCGGGCGATAGAACTTGTTGTTTGGGTCGAGGATCTCTGCACCAGAGAAGCCGTCCCACCAGGCCTGTCCGTTACCGTTGATCACGCCAGAGCCGAAGATTTTCACGTCTCTATATATATTGGTCAGCACACATTTCCAATTCACAAGAACTCTCGGAAGCCTGACTTTCCACCCCAGACCCAGAACGTGATGCTCTTCTGGAAGTCGTAATAGAAGTTGTTTTTCTGCCAGTAGTCGATGTCGTCGGTGAACTAAGTGTGTAAGCCTTGATAAAACAACGTTTGTCAGTCGAGACAAACCTTCAATTCACCGTCAATCTTGACGTACACGTCCTTCAAGAACGTCAAATCCAACTTCTTTCCGATGATATATTTTTTGCCCTTTTCCAGATGCACAAGGCCACCATGGTTCGCTTTCTTGATAGCCCAAAGGAAGTCATCGCTGATATCGTCCCGGTCGTGCTTTGAGGCACGAATGGTGATCTTCTTGCGATCCTTCTCAACAGCGTTACCCCAATTATCCTTTTTCTTCTTGTGGTTTCCTCGAGTCAAGAGAGGAAATCGGAAAGCAGATGTATCAGATCGCGGAAGGTTTATAGAGGAGCCTGCTGGGTTTGCATTGTAGTCAACAGAAAGTGCAGAAACGGAAGCTGCGACCGCAAGAAGTATAGAAAAGGACTTCATTGTTGTAATTTCAGGTTCCGCGTAGGAAGCGCAAACAACCAGTAAGTGGATACTTGGTGTACACAGGGCAAGACATATTTATACAGATGTAATCGTTCCCTTGCCAATGCAGATCTGGCATTATCCTACATTATCCCGTGAAAACTGGTCGCAACCATGCTCGATAGTTTCTCCGGCATGCCAAGTCTTATGTGCACTGTTCAATCTTATTAGCGCCGTCACTCATCTCCACCCCATTTGCGGGGACCCCGCGCTCTAACCTCAAGTCTTCCAAGGGTCTCTTGGCTGTCCAAGCATGCTCGGACGAAGCTTGGGGTAGCTTGGTCGTTCTGTGTAACCCTTGCAAGTTAGGATACGGCACCTATCGTTAGTCGCCTCGTGATTCGTGGGCGGGAGAAAGCTCATTTTCCCTCAAATCAGCCGGGCGAGCACAATTTCCACACTACTAGGGTCTCAATCAATCCGAGAGCATTTTCAAGTAGATATGAGTCTCGGCAGGGCAAAATATGTATGCAAGGCAACGGACGCTGGACTCGCCGCTAGAGTCTGGCTGCTGGGTTGCTCTGCGACAAAATTTCGAAAAGCAGCAGGCGGCTGGTGACATCATATGAAAAATACACGAACCAAGATCTGTAGGTTTCAATATTGAAATACAATGTAACGAATTGATATAAAGCATGGATGTTGAACCTATCACATAGCGAAAACGATGTTCATTTATTGGTATGTGGTCACTAGGTGTTTCAAAGTTGAAGAGATTTGCAAAGGCTCTTTGCATGCTTGTAGATGTGTCAATTCTATTCTAAACCTATGACATTAGACAGCAGCCTGTTTCTGGCTTGTGCGTGAATTCGACAAACTTGTTTCTAGAGCTGGCAAACGAGATCTTGCCGTCTTCCCTCTCATACAACACCTCTTCCTCGCCACGAAACTTTCTCCAGGGTCTTGATTCAACCTCCCCTTGCTCGATTTTACACAGGAACTCATAGACCTCGTCCAAAAAGAATTCTGCGTCGGCATCGCTGGTTGTATGGCCGCTTGCTAGGCTCACTCGCTTGATCTTGTTAGGGTTTATCGGTAGCAGTTTCAAAGACGAATTGATTAAGACATCTGAGATCAAAGCTATTAGTATGTGCAAATAATCGGATGTCGAGCTATAACTTACCACTCCCTCTGTGGCCTGCATTCAGATCTCGGACAAGGCTTCGTAACTTGTTTAGCTTCTCCTTATACAGCGGGATGCTACCCTCAAAAGGAAACAAGATTGGGCCCCATTCATATGCCGTATCGCCAACGAACAGAACCCGTTCCACCGGGTCCCATACCGCGAGCTCATCTGGAGTGTGACCCGGAGTCTGGTAAACGACTAATCCCAAGTCTAAACCGTTGTTACCATACCTGACGTGCTCTCCGTCGGCTGCCCAGTGTGTAACTTTGTATCGAGGGGTCTGCATGCCGACGAATCGACATAGAGAATGAGTCGGTAGCATAGTCTCGTCATCGATGAAATCTCGGTCATATGCACTGGCCCAGATTGCAGACTTCGGGTCGTCTTTGAACTGTTCGATGCCACCTACTCATGGCTTTAGACTCACACCTTCAGAAATGGCGACCGAAATTCTTACCGATATGATCATAATGACAGTGGGTACAAATCACAATATAGTCTTTCTCTGCCGTGGGGTTGATCGGCTCGTCTTCATTGTCCGAGACTGGATATGTCTCAATGAATGCGCGAAGTGATTTCAACTGAACGTCTGGATCCTTCGACGCCCCTCCGCATCCCGTATCAAGCAGAACAATGACAGAGTCATAGACTTTGGCATATATGAAAGGGCTCTCGCGCCACTTGTCGTCTTCCACAATGAGAAATGTCGTCGCGTTTAGTCGCCGAGAGCTGAAGCATGTTGATGGTAGCTTTGCAGCGGCTGCGACTTGCTCTACAGAAGCGGAGGCCGATGTGTCCACCGGACTTTGATGTATCGAGTACTCCATTGATGATACACCTAAATTATAGCACGATGCAAGTACCTAGATCGACTGCTTGGCCTATTAATCGTGACTCGGAGGTAAGAAATGTAGGCACTTCCCACACGAAGACTGGGACGCGGGAACGACTCGGTTGTGTTACAAGCTACTAACAAGACGGGCTAGCGTACCTGCACATAAGCTCACTAGCGTCAATCACAAGTTCGCAGATCGTTTCTGACCGATCGCAGTATCTACGATGTGGAGAGACGAGATACATCGCAACCTAGGTTTTGCTGTGTTTCATGGACTAAAACTTCTGAGGTCCTGACATGTCACGGCGTCTTAAACATAATACCTAGAACCCGTACTCTTCGCCACAGCACGCTGTGCAGTCACGCTGAACGACATGCGGCACAAGACGCGCTTCGTTTGCGTCCACCAACACCTCCGTGGTGCCGACACTTACAGCGCCGATACGGGGACCATGTAGTGCGAATGAAAGGCCGGCCCGATGCGCAGCCCGCGAACGCATACGCTGTAACCCGTCAGCACGTCTGCAAGCTAATCGGCGACGGCTGTCAATGACAATGATGCCGATACGATGGTCGTATCGCCGCAGCTCCTCCTCAGCTTTGGCGCGGTCCAGGTAGAGGCCGCGATAGTATACCATAGCGATAATGTCCTTAAGAGACGATATGCGCGTGGCATAGGCAGCTGCAATCTTCCCAAACAAGCGACCACACACAATTGGTGGGCTGAGTATGCTATATCTCGAGTATCTCCATAAGTTACTGCTAAACCGCTATGCAAATCCGCTCCGAAAATCGCATTGCGAACGCATAAAGAACTCCGTCGGCACGACCCGCCACCCAAAGCGTCGTCGACAGCACCGCGTCCCAATCGATCGAATGCAAGCCTCCTCCAAACCATATGAGCTATACTCTTGCTTTGCGACACTGGCGAGGACGGAGGCGCCTTTACACACGTGGTTCCGAGCTGTACCAACACGATGCCGTAGATCGAAACAATGGCTGGATCTTGTATGACATGAACTTCATGCGTGTGCACCTCGGGTCACTTGTCAAGATGAGAGGCGCAGACGTTCAGGCCTAGGTTAAGGCACGGTACACCTCAGCGCCCCCGTCGAGACAGTCGGCTGTAGGACAATCTTCAAGGAGTGGACAATCTGGTCCAAGTGAGTGTGGTTCATTACTATCGCGCAGCATCGGACCATCACGGTTGAGAGTGCTGGGAGGACTGTTGCGCCGTCATACAAATTTAAAATCTTTATTACTGCGACATCTGAACGTCGATATCCCGTGAACTACCAATAAGACTGCACTTTGAGTGTGCTGAGAGTTCTATCTTACTTGCCGCAGCTATCGAGTTGCTTGATATACTCATCGATGCCATCGTACAGCTTGCTGATGCAGCTCAGGATTTCATTCTTACCAACGTTCTCCCAAATGCCGCTTCGGATTGGACTGATCATCGCGAACCTGATCAATTGACAACCATATCACTCGGGTACGCAAGCAACGCTGGCCTGGTTATTATTATAGTTGGTTTTGTGAAAGAGTCATGGTCATATATCTTTGGAGCCGAGAATGCCGGAAGTTCGAACACCCCTTTCTACAACTTCCCAGGAGGCTTGAATACGGTCGATGAACTGCAAAACTATCGTTAGTCTATTCGTATGTTCGTACCGTAGAGTACTTGCATTATCAGCCCACGATGACTTCGCAGCAAACTCATTCACGGAATATCGTGCACGACGCGAACGTGATAAGCGGCACAAACAGAATGAACGACGCGGATGAGGTGGACATGAAAATTCACAACCCTCTAGCAAAACGGGATGTTGATCAACCGAACATCAAAAAGCCAGAAAAAGCCAACGAAAACCTGTGAATGAATAAGATGAGCCAGTGTCATCAACAACCGGTATGCAGAACCAGCTAGTTTGGAAATCGCTTGACAAGGCTTACATGGTTGCTCCAGATCAGGTTAATCTAAACTTGTTGGTGAGTATTACTCCGTCTCGTTTGAAACTCGATATCATACTGCTAGAATAGTCACCCCATATAAAATCCATATTTCCTCTATTTAACGCCTTGCCAGACTGTGCCTCACTACAACATGTACCACGAACCTCAAAATCCTCCATCAAATTCGTATCTCAAACATCCAACATCAATGTATCCACCGACGCCACCATTGTTACCTATGTGGAGTATTAGTATACTGGGCTTTGTCAAGAAGAGTTAGATATTATCCAGGGCAAGCTTACAATTCGAGAAGGCATCATTTAGAATATCAGGGCAACCATGCGATCCATCACCAAGCGGATCATGGACATCCTGCCTCGCGACTGTTGTTTGACACCCATCGAGCCACTGAATCTGGTAAAAGTAGTTGATGTTGAATGTATCTGACCTTGTGACTCCAAGCGGCGGGTCCCCAGGACCCATGGTATCGATGTTGCTGTCGCCCGTGTCAACTTCGCAATACCGGTCCGCGAAGCTACTTTGGAACACTGGATTGATGTCTGCGTGGCCGGGGAAATTTGCCTCGTTGTTACACACAACAGACTTCATCTCCAAGGGTGTCGTGGGATTTGGCGGTGGTGCTGGTGCCGGAGGGGGAGTTGGATCTGGTGTCGGCGGCGGCGTTGAGCTGCTGGAGGTGGATGTGTAGCAGCCTACTGTTCCGCTAATGGTCGTGGTTTGGCAGGGCGGGATCAATGCTTGCCCTTCACAATTGCCGAAGTTAGGATTGTTGGTGTTTTGGCAACTGTCTGGGTTTGCTGGGTCTAGAAAATCTGGGTTCCGCGTTTGTGTTGGATTGTCTGGTGGCGGACCGCAGGAAGTCGAGCATGGTGCCGAGCAGAAGAAGCCCGTACAGTAACTACCGCAATTATTTCCGGTGCATGTTGGGGAGGGAGCGCCCGATGAAAACGTCAGGGGCTTGCGCGAGGAGCCACCATTGCCGGGGAGGATACAACTTTCAGCCTCGCCGCTGTCATCCTGCCGTTTCTTGTTGCTGCTCGCACCAATGCAAGGAGATGGACGCCCGTTGGTCTGACCATTCCAGACCATTTTGGGATAGACACCTGGGTCGTTTGGTCCCAAATATTTTGGACGGCCCCAGCCGAGCTGCTTGATGAGGCTAGCTACCTCATGTGCATCAGTCAAGGCTGGATTAAGACCACGAAGGTACGCTGCCAATCCTGCCACGACCGCCGAGGAAATCGACGTGCCCTTTGCAGCGCTACGGTACGAATCCACGCCCAATTCAGGATCGGTACACGTCACGTGTTGACCGGGAGCCCAGATATCGATATAGTCGGCGTCCTGCGACTGAGGACCACGTTGGCCGTAGTACGTCGTAGAACCAACAACAATGAGATCCGGGATGTGGTTGCGGTCCGTAGGATCCTTGAACTTCGCCGGGTATCCATCAATTGGGGAGTTTCCTCGATTGCCGGACCCAGTGGTCACCACAACACCCATAGCGATCAGAGATCTGATGATGAACGCCATCTTGTCCACAAACGCCGCGCTAACAGTCGACGAAAATGGTGCTCCAATTTCAACGCCCTGCTGAAAGACCTGGAAGGAAAGCGACATGTTCACGACGGATTTCTTCCCGCGAGAATTCTTCGCAATATCGTCGTGCACTTTCAGGAGAGCGTCGATGAAGTGCTCGTATACGGACTTTTCGTAGTTGATCGCTGTAAAAGACACTGTAGCTTTGCGTGCCGAACCAAGCGATTTACCGGCCATTTTGGCTAGCATGCATGTTCCATGGAACCCTGGCTTTGTCCCGCCGGAAGGATTGTCGCCTACAACCGTCGGTGGATAAGGTTCTACGAGAATGGCAGAGGGCTTCAAACCTGACAGCTCAGTGTGCGACAATGACGCGCCCCAGTCGACGCTGTAGAGGAACGTGCCTTCGCCTAGGGAATCGTCAAAGTAGAAGTTCCCGTCCTGGTTGGGGCTGGCCGACTCTGGGCCCCACGACAAGGCGGCCATCTCGGGTTTCGTGTTACTATCACTGGCTTCCGCACGTTTGCGAAGGGCTATGATATCAGCTGCTGTATCAATTCCGAATTTCTCAGTCATGTTGGCGTGCCATATGGAAGTCTCGTCCTCTGGGACTGACACTGCTTCAATAACAGGATTGAGAAACGATGCCTCGCCACGCGTCAACATACCGTGCGGCATGTATATATCCTGGATACCCAGCTGCGCCGACTGTGCTTGCAGTCTTTCTACGTCAGGAGCCGTGATGCCATTCATGAAGAAGAACATAGTGCCCAGCGTCGGTGAGACACTCTCGTAAAATCCGCCAGGCAAAGCCAAAAGCGCGGTCCTCAGGTTCCCCACAAAGATAGGGCTCGCGGGGTAAACGATATACGGAGCCGGTGTTGCTGTAGGTTCGACAGTCGTCGTCGTGAGGTCTGTGCCTCGGACATGACATCCCGTGACGGTAAGACACGATGCGACCGTCGTAGTCCTTGTTGCGTCCTGCTGTCTTTTAACAACTTTTCCATCAATCATAACGATCTTAGTGGATGTTCCGAACTGCTGTGAATTCCTCTTGTTATTCCGGCGCCGTGCAGTACCGATGGACACGGTTGTTGTGCACAGCTCTGCTTCTTCCGTCTCGCATGGTTCGTCGTCAGGATCATGAGGAAGGTAAGTGGGGATGTGATCGGGACCAATCGTGATCTCTGGCCATGGTATCGGTTGAAATGAGATGGCCGGTGGCGGATTGGGTCCTGGCGGCGGACCTGGTGGTGGAGGTGGTGCGGGGGGGTATATGCCGATATCCCATCCGCTGAGCACCCAGCCACCTATGTCTGGTGGGCAAAAGAATATGAACCAGCTCCAGCAAGGGACTACAGGCTCAGACTTGCCATTGATAATAGTTACCGTCGGGCCTGGTACCCATGTGGTGACGGGAAAGACCGGGTGTCTGGGCTGGGTCGTGATTATGGGGAGGGTTGGGTCTGGAGGAAATGTAAACCCTGGCGGCAGGGTTGTCGGAGTAGTAGTTGGATCTGACACTGATGCCGTTGAATATGGCCATGGGGGTGGGAAGATCGTTCTCGTTGCAGGTGGCAACTTAATGTTCGGTGGGTACGTTTCGGTGATCGTAAACGGTGGCGGGTGGATGCTTGTCACAGGGAAAATAATAAATGAATCGTTCGAGGAAGTACTCGAGCTGGAAGTCACGTTATAGTTCCAGTAGCTGATCACCGAAGTTGTGATGGCCGGAATCGTGATAGTGGTAGTCTCGATGGTAGTCGTGAATTTGGATGATCCATCCACCGTAGTCGTCCATCCAACTTGAAGAGTAGTCGTGAGAGGGGGAAATGTGACAGTAACTGCGGAACTCAACGTGCTTGGGGGAAGGACCATGATACAAGGCGGTGCGCAATGAACATCGGGCTTTGGATTGGTCCAGATGGACGGATCGACAAAGACCACGGTTGTATTTGTCGCGGATCCGCTACCTGCATACGGCAAATAAACGCCGATTTCGCTTGTGAATCCACTGAATGGATGTGAGAGCCTGCTTCTCAAGTTTAGGATTGGAAAAAAACTTACGATTTAGCAGTAAAGTTGAACGGCACTGATGGAATCTCACTGTTTCGCGATCACGTTAGTTGAGGGTAGACACAAGACGACAATCCCAAAGGAACAGACAAGAACATACCCGAAACTGCTGACAACCTCTTTAGTACCCTTTGTGAAGATGTTGAAGATCCACACATGCTTTGATCTCTCGATTCTGAACAATCGCTCCTGGCAATCTTCTGAATCGATGCAACCTTGTCCGTAATTGTTGAAAAAGCTGTACATGCCAGCGCTGTAGATGAAGACGTTCCTGGAGTCTATGATTCGCAAGCCCCATGACTCTTTGCATGTCTCATTGACACAGTCCTTGAAATTTGGGTCTGCCGGGAACTTGCCTATAGGGAACGGCTGTAAGGCATTGGGAGCTGGTTGAAAATACGGGGTTTCTGTTTGTAGGTGTCCCATGTAGATGTTCTCGGCTCCAGACAGCTCGTACTGGTACAAAACGTTGTGCTCAGAGGCGGTGCCATACAGCCACGTCGGACCCTTAGACTCTATAAGCATCCCTCGGCCACTGAAGATGTTCAGAGAGGCAGATGTCGAGGTCAGGGCACTTCCGAGTGGTGCATCAATATCACTGAAGCTGGCTTAGCAACTCAAGTCAGGATAGAACAAAGGGGGAAGAAACTCACTGATCAGCAGTCCAAGCCCAAACGTTCTCAAAATATCCACTTGCCTGTTCGGTGACATGAAGCAGCATCGATGCAGCCATACACTTCTCCTGAAAGCCACCAGCCTGAGGACAGTCCGTCAAAGACAAATCTGAGCCACCTGCTCCGCCAATCCTGAAGTGTGAATCCCACATTGCCGCAGATCCTTGGGATGACTCTTTGATGTTCCACTCCATGAGTACAGCTCCAGCCGTCGGGCCCTTCACCGTGAAGAGCATATCCGAAATCTCGACTGTGCCTTTATCACCTGGCTTGCCGACCTGGACCATGGGCTTGGGGTTATTCGCGTCGCTGAAGAAGTCTCCCGTACCTCTGATCTGCGACCAACCGGAGCCGACCACTACAGATTTGGTGGGGATATTGACCGTTCCCTTGACTTGGTAGATACCAGCGGGAAAGTAGACCATGCGCCCGCCACTCAGAGCCTTGTTGATCGCATCAGTCTGGTCTCCGGTTCCGTCATTGGCAACGCCTTGATCCGTGAGAACAATCCAATCGGCTGTTTTGGCATTCTTATAGCTGGGCCGGCTACGGGTGTAATACTTACCTCTCGTATCGGTGAGATTGGAAGGCTTGTCTGGTGCAGGGCTGACAAGACCGTGGGTGACCTCGTGCTTGCCGTCTCGAGAGGCATAGCGGGTGCCTAATGCCCAGGACTTGATCGTTACATCATCTTCAGAACCAGGGCCCTTGAGATAAATCTCGCCATCTTTTCCTATCACGCCCACTGATTTGCTTGTTTTGGAGAAGAAGACATTATCTAGAACAAGTTCGGGTGGGTCAGCTCCATTTAAAGGTTGCATCCCGATGCTGTAGTCCGTGTTGGTGAAACTGGAGTCTGTATCAATGTCGTCAGTCATTATTGCATCAAAGTCAGGAAGAACGGAGACGAAGAATATGAGCAAGTAATCTCACCTATGATGGCCAGCGATCCAACGCCTTGGCCGTTTCCAGAACTGTCTGGAGTCTTCCCAGTGATATTGAAGCCTATGGTGCAGTTGTCCACTGTGATCTGTTGCCATGTCATGCCCCAAGTCCACGTCACCTGGATTGCGCTGGTGACCTTGGTGAAATTGAGATTGCGTATGGTAAATTGTTGAGAGCCAGCTTGGTAGCCGATATAGCCTCCAGCGAATTCAAGGTCCGAGATAAAGCCGCCAGATCCATTCTCAGTGAAGATACCGATAGCAGTCTTGGCACTATCCTCGCCATCGTCACGCATCTGAATCTTGATATTTTGCAACGATGTGGCCTGAGCAACCTGCCAGTGAATGCCAACTGGGACGTGTCCCTGTCCGTTCTCGTCGTAGTTCATAGGCTTCATGTCGCGCATGTCCAAGACGAAATTGCGAATTTGACGGAAGAACTGATTCTGGTTGATATACCTAGTCGCACATTGTCAAAATGGGTTTCGTATCGAATTGAAGAGGTACAGTCCGATTAAGGGCGGCTATTGCTTACCATTGAGCTCCGTTTGCACCAGGAATATATGGATCAGTGTCGAAGATAGCGATTCCTCTGAACTCACGATCTGCTTTCATGACCGGTCTATCATTGGGATTTCCCACGAATTGTGTGTAGTAGTACTGGATGATGGGTTCTGATACCAGGTAGGTGCCCGGCTATTCTTAAGTCAGAGAGAGGTTGGGGTTATAAGCGGACACAAGAACCATACCGGAAAATAGACCAAAGCCCCTAACGTCGAGGTCCCAGCACATCCTTGGCCACACCGGTTACCTTCAGAAGCGGCTCGATTGATAGCCTCGGTGTCATCCGTGGTCCCATCACCTTTGGCACCATAGTCTTTGACGTTGCGAAAAAACTTGTAGCTGTCGCCGCCTGGTGCAAGAGGCATCTACAATCATAAGTAAGCTAAGGTCTTGTATGGGTGATTTCACTCGAACAACTTGCCTTGCCTTTGCCAGCTAGTTCGGCCAGCCAATAAGTATCAGCCCTCTTGACGGGACCGACATCCAATAGAGATGCAGAGTCAGTTGATTCATGGTAAGAAGGTCTTTGTAGATCTGTGGGGTCGATTCTGTCTGCTAGTGACGAAACGATTGCAAGCCATCCTAAAACCAGCCAAGTAATAATTGGACGAGGCATAGTAGAAAACCAAAGCGTTATCTATATCGTAAGACGTAACAAGAACGAGCAACATATATTTGAAATGTTTCTACTATTGGTGTCGAACAGTTGTTTTATAGGAACGGTACAGGTCTAACGGCTTACTTAGCTGACATTTGTCAGGTCTCAAGTCAGCGTTATGCGTGGACGCCTTATTAAGCCTCAAACTAACGCAGATCTTTGTTGTAATTTGGCAAGCCAAAGCTATGTATTATAGCGTTTGCCATTGCATTGAAGCTGAGATCTTTTCCAAGAATAAACGTCTATGTTGGGCTAACGCTGAGTTTGTGCAATTAAGTCACAGAACACCTGATCTTCTTTTCCTTGCATTTTTTGAAACAATGCAAACGGGCTCAGGAGCTTTCCAAACTCATACGCTTATATCATGTCAGCTTACTTGTCCTATATCCTATTTACAGATAATTGCCTGTCATCTTGAACGCTCAAGAAGCCAATGTGGAGCATCCTTGCCTCGAGATTAAGCATAAAATCGTAATCATTTATTGACACATTTGTGATTTAAGTGCAAATATTGCCTTCTGGATTCGCATTATGCTGTATGGCGAACCACGAATATAATCCAACAGCGACCAACACACCTTCATCCGCTTGACAAAAACCACAAGCAAACCCCGCAATGCCACTCATTAGAAGTGTTTCCTGCTATCCTTTGGAACGGAGTCTACCGCAACTATCCACTGTTTCCTTGCTAACTCCTCAGCTGCGGCTGGTGTAAATCCTGGCGCCCGATTCGAGGAGGCATGGTTGATTCTCTCCACAATAGCCGCAAACACACCAATTATATCAGAGAAAACCTGTGCGGAGGATTCTGCAAATAGGCATCCTCTGGTTTCTGCGAAGGATCTGCCCTCATATGTTGGGACTTGGCGAACTGGTCTTGATGCCTGCTGCGTAGGTAGATCAGAGCTCGTACCGAGTTCTGTCGTTAGCCCCAAAATCATGATTGGGAATGGATGGTTGTCGATCCCTACTTCCATGGTTGCCAGAAGCTTGCCGAACTGATTCTGAGCATCTTTGAAGGACGAGAAGGACGTGACGGTATATACCAGGATGAATGCGAACTGCTGGAACATCGACAGCAAAGCTTGCGGCTGAGCTTCTGGCTGGGGCAACTCGGTGATGTCAAGAGCGTAAACATTGCCCTCGCATAGAAATTCTACAGGATAAGAGAACATTCCCAATTCTGTTGAGCTTATATTCACATCAGCATAGTTAATCTGGCAATTATATTAGCATATATTGAGGATTATAGCGAAGTTACTTGCCATGTTTACAACATGGTCCGATCTTGCCTGTGGATGGGTACCCCAAACAACAATTCGAACTGAGTTGGTTGCTGAACTAGCATTTCGTGGAGGAAAGGTGTCTGGAAGTTTTTGGCTACGCCAAAAGCTCTCGTGGAGAGCTATACCGCGACGATAGGCCGGCAGAAAGGTTGGCTTTCGCGTAGACATGCCTAGAGACATCTAAAGTGTTCTCTTAATTGGAACTTATAGCGGTGGTGAGATAGATAATTTATAAACAAATAAAATTGTCAAGAAATAATTATCGCGAGCTCAAGTTTGATAAAGTCATATCAGTAACAGGACAACCAGAGAAATTTTGAGAACTTTCGATGGGTAAGATTCCCTTGGCGCAAGTAAGCGGATAAGCAGCTCCAGACTGTGCATTGTGGGCTGACACCCCGTGACCAGCAAGATGATCTCGAACGAAAGGCGCAGTAAGCTGACAGCTGTTAGCAAATCCATATCTTGTAGCAAACCCGCTAGGTCCCAACAAACATACGCACCTAACATCGCAGCCTACACTTCTTCCACATACCCATCTTAACTTTTCTACTCTTACCCAACTGTTGTATACACTCGCAATACCCGTTCTTTACCACCTGCAGATTTTCTTATGACGTCATCACACACAGCCACGGGCGTACTCGAGTTTCTCTGCAACCGGCGATTTCACAGACGTTTTGCCCTACTACCAAACCCTGATACCGGGCGAAGCAAGCCATACAACGTGTCTTATGCTGACTATGGCGACTCGACCAGCAACGCAGTTGTCCTATTCTGTGGTGGGCTAATGGGAACACGACTATCCTATTCCCATCTCGATCAATTAGCCAAAGCCCACAATGTAAGAATCATCCATCCGGACAGACCAGGAATAGGCGGCAGCGATCCTGTTGAGCTTGATAAGCGGATAGAAACTTGGCTCGGTAAGTAGCCACTCTACGTCTCTGAAGTTTCGCTGATTGTCTTAGAAATGGTTCCTCAGCTCCTGATTCATCTGAACGTATCACACGTCTCATTGGCAAGTCATAGTTGGGGTACCATCTACATTCTCAATACCTTACTAGCGTACCCACACCTTCTACATCCCCAACATCCATACGTTTGCTACTTCGCTCCTTGGGTTCACCCCGCACATTCAAAGGTTGCGCATCTACAAGCAGCTCAAATGTTACCAGCGCCGATGATCGGCAAGTTCGCGTCACTCGCGAAGTTCATCAACCGAAATGTCACGCCGTTAGCTGGGATGAGTGGCAGCTTAATGCACAGCATTAAGGGCTCGTTGCCTCTTTCGAACGTTCTGCCAGATTCTGTGTCCTTCACACCAAACAACACATGCAATCGCGCGTCTTCCGTAAGCTCAAACGGTGATGGTTATGCTCTTGACTTGAACAACCCGAGCGTGATTGACGAATTGCGGAAACAAATCATCACTTTCGTCTTCGCTGAGTCCATGGATGGCGTATCTGGAGATACACAACTATGTCTGAAAAAGCCACGCTCCATTCCATGGTGCTCGCCAAACATCCCTTGGTCCGATATTGACGCTGCAGTACCCCTGTTCTCAAGAATTATCAACGAAGACGATCGCTTAAGTAGTCACAGCGCAGTGTGGACCGTCAACGTTTTCCATGCTGAGGTGGACAATATGGTTGGTGAGAAGGGGAAGCAGTGGTTCGATGACTGCTGGACGATGGCCAAAACCTCTACCACTACCGCTCCGAGTCTATCGTCACAGCCGCCACAACAACGGTCTCGAAAATCTTATGAGTTCAAGAGCCAGACGGTGCAGAATGCCGATCATGATTACTTGATGGATTCAGCTTTCGGCGCGAGTGAGACCTGGTTGCAGCGTGTCAGAGATGCGGTCCCAGTATCTACGAAAGAGAACATCCTGCATTGTCCACCGTAAGCGAATGAGCAGAACAATGTTAACTAAGGCGAGCAGTGTAGTCGGCGGACATGCCTCTGATAAGGCAATTAGCAGAAAAGAAAAGCTGGATATGTCGCGAAACTTCACCACCTGATTTGCTGGAACGATCTCGAAGGCAATCAGGGCAAAGTCGCAGTTGGAGGGTAGTCAGCTGAACACCAGAACGGCGTATAACTCCGTATTCATATCATTCGTTTTCAACGACTAGTAATGTACTTCCTATTATTATCACAGGACACGACACCACAATATTATACCTCGTTCGTATGTGGAACTTGTTATGTTTGTAAGTGTATTAGTACTTCGAAGACTTGCAATGGCCCAGCTGTGTGCGTGCTTTGATCCTTGCATTTCAGCAATGTTCGTCATACTTACAGCAAACTCTAGTAATACTCAGCAACACCGAGGGCGTATAGAGGCACAGGTATATCTACAAGGTACCATTCATTCCAAGTCACCATGAGCGACGGTCTCGAAAGATCTCTTGGAAGCTTCCTTGAACTTCAATGCTCGTTACCGATTTGCAAGCATTTGTACTCAAGTGTTAATCGAATCAACTACTTTGATGCTACTATCAGAAGCTACCGATCTCAAAATCTAGCCTTGTCTTCCTCGCTATAGCCATGAGCATCCAACTATACTATAGGATCGAGCTCTCTCAACTACACCGATCAACGTGATGCATCTCCTGCAGAGTATCAGAACCATGCAGATTACCACTACCGTAATCACCCCAATAGGTCAACGGTCACAAATGTGATGTGGTGTGCGGGAAGGCGACCTACACTTCCGAGGAGATTTTCTTGCCGCTGAACGCTGCATCAACTTGCTCCAAATCAACGAGACACATGGCAATACAAGTAAGCCGTTGCTTCGCTCTTCACTCAGCTTTTCGCTCTTGACGCTGACAATCTCCCACTTTTCCCTTTCATCTACTATTCAATGCAGATATCAACTCCGCACACCGGAACCATGATACCCACATACCCTCAGAAATTTTGACTCGAAAAGAACCAAGCTTACATGCCCATCCGTGTCCGGCAACCCTGAGTTATTATCAATTTCCAATTGAAAATAGAGTCGTTCATGTCGACAGCAAGATCAATATCAACATTAGTCAGGAAAGAGCTATTTAATATCACAGAACATGGGATTTTGCTAACGACTGGCACCTAAATGTTTACTACTCTTGGCTCACAACGCACAGAACAGCTCTTTTTAGAGGATTTCTGTCGTGTAGCACTATCTAATGGTGAACAGGATACTGGAAATCTATCTGGTAAATTTTCAGACAAAGACATGTGCAAGAAGATAGCTGTGCATCCTTGAATGCACTAAGGCAGTCCTCATGCATCGCTGCCTTCGAAGACGCGTACTAATCAGACAACCAAATGGTAGTGCACAGTTTTCAAGTGTGAAGAAAGTAGATTTTGATGCCGTACAAAAGCCATCCATTCAAGTCGAAAAGCGTGCTGTCTCGTTGGGAGGAGAAGATCTCTACAATGTCGAAGATCTTCCTTACTCTTCGGAGCTGAAAAAAACGTTATAGTTAGCATTTGTTACTCCAAATTTTGTAGTAAAAGCTAGCTCTTGTATTTAGCATAGCAGATCAACCCCGCAGAGTAGAACTAGCAAGTCGCTCTGGTCGTGCTCGAAATCTCACGTGACACAGGTGGTGTCGGCTACGCTAGGCAACAGGATCGAGCAAAATCTTCGATATGAAGTTTAGAGCTGGCTATTACCGTTTTATCAGTAGTGCAAAGCTGACAGTATACGCTAGGGCGTTTAAAGCGGTAGATGCCTTGTAGGGCTTGCTCGACGTTGGGATTCCATGGACCCACCAGGTCCAATTATTGAGCAACAACTCTTTCGTTCCTTGCGTGAGAAACACGTGTCCTAGGAGCCTTAAGGGTTTCTACCTTGTGACGTCAGGTAGTTGTGATGTCTTGACGTGGCGTGGCTAGGAAGAGATATTTATCCGATAGAGATGAATTGAAAGCATAAAGAACCTCATCCATTCTCCTGCATTGAACAACTATATCCATGACAGCTTGAGAAGCAGAGCTCTTGTTTCGTTTCTATCGCTCTCCCATCAATCTCATGTCAGACGACTCATTTTCTTACGATGATTGGTTCTCTTACCGACTTGCTCCCGACGGCGACATCGAAGATGGATGTCATCCAGACGAAGCGCAGGCGATGAAAGACTACCTGCGCCAAAAGACAACTGTAACCGAAGCCGCTCAAGCCATCACTTACCCAGTTACGAGAGAAGACGACCCTACAGACAACCTTCATCGTCTATGGGGCTTCCTTGAGGATTCACTCGTAGAACTGCCATCGAAACACATCGACCCATTGATATTACTATTACAAGCTATCGAAGCACTCCCCAAGCCCGATTTCGCAGGCAACCATGACGTTTGGGAAGGTCTTGGAAATTTCGGCCACATGTGGTCTGATGGGTATATGAATGGTGGCTGGAGAACGAAGGCCCGGGAAGGGAATGGCCCAGAGTACGACATATCAAGAGAGAGACACGTACGAAAAGCAGAGATCGAGGCGCGAATTGTACAAGCAGGCATTGGAAAGATTCCGATTGACTGGGGTTACGAAGTAGTTGCAGATGCTCTAGAGAGCAGCAACGCAGTATTTGATTTCGAAATTCCGGCTGCTGCGAATTGGCTCGTGATATGTGGTCAAATTTTTCGACAGGGCGCGGAAAAGCGCGAAGAGAGTTACGGCCTGAAGCCGTTCACGATGATTGGACCTCATGACCCTTCGCGAGATCTCCGGAAGGCACCCTTGGATCGAATCATGACCTTAGAGCGCTGGTCGGACTGGGAACATCGTCTAAAAGAGTTAGAGGGAGAATTGGGGGTTGTTGGGGAAGCTGCGAAAACAGCACTCGGCGCTATGCAGAAGTTAGATGATCCGTCGACATAGAATTTAGAGGGGTTGATATATGAAAATCGCATGTACTTGAGCTACAAAAGTAGCGCGGTAATAGTAAAGAAAATTTAGTCATCTTATTAAAGTTTACCCCTTCTCACGCAGACGAGACTTTACTGCCCATAGATGAGCGAAGTTATCGTGGGGGTAGATCTTAACGTTAGTGCTGGTGTTTGGTCAAAATGGAAAGGACTTGACGTTTTTCACCCCTGGCCACGGCAAATCCAAAAGAGTAATGGACGACTGCGCATTAATCGTGCTAATAAACAATGTTGCGGCAACGATGGCATAGAAACACGTCGTAAAGTGCGATCAGTGTTTGAATGAACCTTACATGCCTGACTAATATATATCGAGATCAACCGGTACACGCGCGTGCAAATTCTAGAAGGCTCAACTTCTATCATTAACAAGATGAGAAGTATCACGGTCGAACGACAGTGAAGGTAGGCTGGTATGTAACTCATCTCTTGAGCCTGTTCCAGAACGAGCGCAATTGTGTACTACAGTAACAAGATGGCGACACATCGCGTGGCGTTAACTGTGTTCTTGCTTATACCTACCTCGATTACATAACTAAGTGTATAGACCAGTCTGAAGACAATAGCATAACAGTTGATGTGGTAACGTCGCATGCGTTCCAAAAAGAGCGTGCATTTACTTCGTTAGCCTAGGCTGAATTCATTTTATGTCGTCACCCGTGACTGAACCTGCGAAAATTAGTTCGGAGGCCATGTCAGTTACATACTCATTTGCAAGGCTTGTGCTGGAATTATGTTTTGAGAAGGTCCAAAAGCACATCATAAAAAGAATTGAATGTTGGGGCAATTTCACCTTATACAGTGAAAAGTTATCGCACATTGTCGCTGCTGCTCATACTGTTTACCTTATGTCGCGAATTTGTCAGTTATTTGCATTTAACTTCTTCAGCGACGTCTCTTCTCATGTTATAGATTCATGGTTGATCAAATTGAAGCAGTGTACAAAGTCACATAGGAACAATTAAGCATTGTGATTGATGTATAAACCCTGGTAGTTCAGGATAGATTCATTTGCACTCCCAACTCGAGGGTTTCTTATAGTCGCCACCCACATATGTGTTGCGTGCTGGAAACCTATGGTCGTTAGTTTGCTGAATCTTGATATCGCCCCATCATGTACTTACTTGCAATGGCGACGCGTGAAATCCACACCCAACGACACGGTATCGTTGACGAATTTAGTACCCTCGATGTATTGTGGTGCGACATCCTTCTCTACCCAGTCCACCATGGCTTTGAGAACGCTGTGTTGCCTATCAAACGCAATACCGTTTTGCGCAGCATTTCCGCCTTGACCAAGGACCCAGGCACCGGGTCCAGAGTTGCAGTGGAACATGCCCGAAACTCTGAAGAACCGTGTCCACTCATCCATTGACTCGTAGCTTCTGCGGCCCCGCAGGTGTTCATAGAAGCGATTTGTATTGAACGCTGTGATTTGATTGTCCTGCTGGCCGTGGTACATAAGCAGCTTTCCGCCTCGGCGCTCGAACCCAGGCAACTCGGATGGGTAGGTGCGGATATCTCCAGGATTGAGCAACTCTGCTGCGCGTACGGCCAAGAAGTCGAACGTAGACGCGTTCCAGAGGGGGTTATTGAAGACGACATACTTGAACCAATCTTCTGAGTAGGGGAACGGGGCACCGGCGTACAATCGATCCACAGCATTGATTTCGCTACCCGGCTGCATGGCAGGAAAGATCAGTTGTCCGGTCGGATACTTGTAATCGCTGAAAATAGTGTTAATCTGGTGGACCTGGTTCTGGTTTAGACAATTGGCAGTGGTGTTGCGGCCGCAAAGTAGTGTTGATGGGTCAAACTTGCACAAAGCGGGGTCTTCGATGATACCGTCCTTGACCTTGTCGATAGTGTCGCACTGGCGCAGCACCTCTTCGTGAATCCACGTCTTCCATGCTGTCGCGGGGATGAAGTTGGGGCCGGTGCTTGGACCGGTGATTGTGTAGAAACGGGCGCGCCAGGACACCAGGTTGTTGAAGTCGACGCCTGGGGCACCGGCGACGATGCCATCGAAATCTTTGGGAAACTTTTCTGCGCTCTTGATACCTTGGCGGCCGCCCAGAGAGCAGCCTAAGTAGTATGACTTCGTGTGACTCTCCTTGTATAGCTTCTTTGACAGTTTTTTGCCTGTCTCGACGCTCGTATGTAGACTGGGAATTGGTAAGTATACGGACGAAAACAAATGGAGATGGTGGCCTTACGAGCGCCAGGCAAAGTCAACCACGGTCTCTGGACTATTGAGAAACGCTACTCCCGTAGTGCCATTCTTGCCATTGTTTGCTCCAACGGTGGCAAACCCATTGAGAGAGCCGTATGCGAGGTCTTCGTACTTGATGCCTAGGTTGGTTGAGAGTGTCAGTTTCGATGTTTGAGTGCCCCGACAACTGATTTCCCAACTCACATCCATCAATGCCGCCGTTTCCAGTTGCCAAAAAACGACCTGACCAATCTTCTGGAAACCACGCTTCGAATGTGATGTTTGATGATTTGGATGTCTTGATCGATAGAGCAATACGGCACAAGTCTGCCGAAACGGCCTGACTAGCACGATTGCATGTCACGTCGTTGTCAGGAAACGTCAACGTCGTGCCCGCAGTAACGTATTGAAGAACGTTGCGCGTTGCGCCATCAATGTACTTCTCAGGTCTGAACGCAAGACATTTCTCCTCAAATGCTGTCGAAGCCGCAGCGGTCTGTGACAGCGCAAGGAGAGAGACGGAGAGCAAAGTCGCGAACATGGTGGCCAACAATGAAGCAGCTTTCCCGCGGCTTGACTGAGCAGATGAATAGGCACACAATAGTTTTATAACGGGGACCTTGCGTGCATCACGCTGCCGCGAACCCTTGTCCAAGCGATGCCGCAATCGCGCTTGCGAGCCGCAATCTTAGGTGTCTTGTCGATAAGCAAAATGGTTCACGTTGTGGGTGTTGGCCGGAATGAGAGACCAGGAAGGCAATCCTTTCGGAACTCTAGTGGCTAGTTGAATGAAGCACGGCGAATCTCACCATGATTGTTGATGTTGCGTTTGTTTAGGACGCGTACTTCAAGACACAGGCTCTTTTGTATGCGCTTACGTTGAATTTGGCCTGAATCGGACGTCAGATGGGAAGTTCGCGAGGAGCCGGTGAGACGGTTAAAGGGCGTTCGCTACTGCCAGGGTAATTCTGTACGACCGTCAGTGACCCCGGCTACGGAAATTTATTATCACGAGCCCCCGAAATTCTCTCCACCAACGACACTGACGTTTCCAAGCCGCTGGAAACCGCTGGAAAAATTATCACGTCTAATCTCCTGGGTATTGTATATACGGGACCATCCGAACCCCCTTGAGAAGCCTCTCCGATCGACCCTTTAGAGGTCTTGGACGGGTCACACCATCTGCATTTCCCCAACATACATGTGAGGTGAAGGATTTTGCGAAAGGAATACTGGTTGTTCGGGTCTCTTGAGCTATCAGCTGGCCTTACGCATGACGATCAACGACAACAGGGCACTCACATAAGCACTATAGGCTGACGCCTTCCGAACGGGTAACACAACGGTCAGCCTGCGATATGAAGATCCACTAGAAGCACAGAATACAGATTCGAACCACCTCGTCAACCCTGCATAACTCGGGATTGCTGCCGGAGAGGAAGGTGAAGGATTACCTAGCTTGCTCTCAAGTTCTGAACGGCATATGGCTTGCACCAATCGAACACGGCTAGGCTGGGTGCATGCTGCGGAGTGGGTAAGGATGTAATATAGCAAATGCACGTAGTAGACACACCCAGAAATATCAATCCCGGCTTTTAGGTTGATCTAGAGAAGCCATAACGTATGCAGTACGCTCGGAGCGAGAATGCGCCGTTTCCTTTGATTCACTTCTTGCAAACTTCTACCTACAACGGCGACAGTCGAGAAGCAAACAGTTGTCTTCCTTCAACATAAATACCAAGATGGCCGACCTGGAACCAATCGGATATCAGTTGGTCATTATCACCGTTGTTTTCGGGTTCATAGCGCTTGCTACTCTGAGCGTGCGAGTGTGGTTCCGGTTGCGGCAAGGGAAGCACGATGCTTCCGACACTTGCTTGATAGCTGCTATGGTATGTCTTTACTCTTCTGGATAGTTCAATCTGGTCTTTGGTTTGAGGGTTGCTGATACGATGCTCCAGACGTGCGCCATAATCCAAAGCGCCATTCAGCTCATCCTTGTCATCGAATTCGACTACGGGACAGCAAAAGCAGATATCCCTGCTCACCTACGCACTTCGGAGTGGCCATCGAAGCTGTCATTCGTCAATCAGGTCGTGTTCAAACTCACCACGCCACTGTCCAAGCTGTCTCTGTGTTTGCTATACCGCGCGATGTGCTCTACCTCCACCGATCCTGTCATCAGGGTCACGAGAGTTGCTATCTGGGGGACTATCTTACTGATCGTCGGCGCATATGGCTCTGCATTCCTGATTAGTAACTTCCAGTGCACGCCCATTAGCAAGACGTGGAACAAAAAAGTTGATGGAACATGCATCGACTTGACAGAGTTCCGCATGAGGGTAAGCTTGAAGTAAATCTAAGACAAAGCATAGAGCTGACACTACAGTAGTAAGCCCCTATTTTCCCACTGCAGCATAATGCACGCACTTCCGCAGCTTCATCAGCTAGTTCCGTTCTCTTTTCAACATCTCGAGCGTTACTAACGTTTCATTCATCTCCACAGCACTGCAGTCTTCAATCTAATCACGTCAGCCATGGTCATCACCCTGCCAATCCCCACATTGATCAAGCTCAAGAAACACCGCCCCGAAGTCAAGCAACTACTCGCACTTATCCTCCTCGGTCTCGTCCATACCGGTTTAACTATTGCACGTTTCGTCATCATGTTTTATCCAGACCCCCTGACCAAAACCGAACCGCAGTACGCCCACATCGCGCCCAACTGCCTAGCAGTAGTTGAGATGGACGTCGGTATCTGGGTGGCAACGCTGGTTGTCATGCGACCGGCATTGCACGCTCTCCGCCGCATTCGACATCCAAATTACAAGTCAGAAAGATCAACCGCCTTCTCCTACAGCCATTCAGGGACCGGTAATGGGTACCACATGAAGAACTACACCGCGAAAAGTAAAAAGAGGGAAGATGAGTTCCGCATTTTGGAGACAACGGAAATCCATGTCACGAGTGAGGGTATGTCGGCAGGATGATGAACGTTGGGATACAGTGATATGAGTGTAGCGCCGCCTGAGGAAGATGGGGTGACCAAGAAATGAGACATCGAGGGCCAGTTCATTGTGCCGCAAGGATATGGAAGATATACGAAGACATCTTTTGAGCCTATTCGCCATTGCCGTGTGGTTCCTGTGTGAACACACACAGAGAACTGGGGCAGGGAGTTGGTCGTGTGAAGTTTTCAGCTCCCCTGTCAATCGAGAATCTTATCTTCTTCTCGGTAGAGGGGACACAGACGCTTATACAGGACGGAATGATGCACACCTTCAGCACCCTCGAGGACTCAGATGCCGGTTCCGATCACCCAGGAATATCTTGCGGATATCAGGTCGACAGGCGGGACTCGAAGAAGACTTCTACTCCAATTTACTACCATGCTCTATGAAGAGCATTGAAAGAGGGATTCGCAGCCGTTGACGTGGCTCCATTTTGATCAGAATTGTCCCGGCTCACTCACACCGTCGTTTGGGTCGGAGGCTTCGAACCAATAGTCAATACCACAACCCTCAGGGCGTTCTGCTACTCTTTCCATTCATGTTGTCCCACTGCGACATCCACTCCTCTTACTTATATTGTATAGCCTGGAGGGCTAACGTTGGTACTGTTATTCTACAATATATGAACTCATAAGCTCTGGCTGCACATGCAATTCCGATGAATATAGTCTAGAAGTCACAAACAGGCTACAAATACAATTAGTGTGTTAGTGTAACGAACTCTGCGTGGTACAGAATCTAGAAGGGCTTAGTCTACTGCATTCACATTTTAGACAAGCAGATGCGTCTTTCATTCCCCTTGCCCCGACCACAACGATTCAGCCATCCCCCGACAAAAGAACTGGGAAGTTTTTGGGTGTGGGACAAAGAGTCTCGCACTCTCACCAGTGTCCATCAACCCAGAAACGAAAAGCCCCCTGCTCACATAGTATTTTCTACATAGACTAAAACCAAGGCTAGAAAAGCCCCGCGTAATCGCGCCCTTTGTGATATCCTAGAATTGGTGTGTTTACGCGGCAAGGCTATTATGATGTTGTTCTTGTGCGGCTCAGCATGTCTGGGGGGGTTCCCCAAACGACAGGCCGCAGGATGGAGGTGAAGACAGGCAAAAAGAAAGTTAGCAGTGCATGGCGTGTGTGAATAGGGGAGATTCGGGGAGAGAGAGTATATTTATGTCATCAACCCAGCCATTGTCCAGTCATTGACGTTTGGGGGGAAGACATGAAAACATGGTTTGACAAGAGTTTCTAGACAAGTCACCTCCTCAGCCCATCAGCCAAGCCAAGGCTAAACTAGCAATATCCATCTCCAATGCATTCATCATCTCGGAACCCAAGTCCCCAGTAAACCGAACCCGCCAAATCCGGATCCTGAATGCAAGATCCCCACATCATGGTATATCGTAAAATCTCTAGCGAGCCCACCCCCTCTCCACCGCACCGCACTACCCATTCCTCAAACTACTCAGTCTGCCCCCCAACGGACTCGCAGCCCTCGAGCGCGTCTTGGTAGGCTGCGGCGTAGCACTACTCGCGCGAGTCCCCACGCCCATTCTGCCCGCCCCCGAACTTCTCAGCCTGGAGATCTCATCTTCCTTCTGCGCCAGGATGCGCTTCAGATTCGAATTTGCAGCCTTTTCACTCTTGAGCTGCTGTTCTAAATCCCGGCCGCGGTGATCGAGGTGCAATTGCCTAAGGCGCGTTGTCTCGCTGGAAGCCTGGCGCGCGAGTTTAGCGTTCTCACTCTCGAGCGCGGTTATGCGCGCTGAGGCACTGGAGGCGGCGTCTTGCGCGAGGCGATACTGTTCTTTTGTGTATTCGTGGAGGGCGTCGGTGGACTGTGAGGATTTGAGGGCGCGGTCGCGGTCGAGGCATGCCTGTGCGAGGTCTTTATCCTGGCGTGCGAATTTCGAGATCCTCTCGTCTTCGTTCAGGAGAGATAGGTTTAGTTGCTCCTCTAGCCGCGCGCTGAAAGCCTGGCTTTCCGTTGTGCGTGTAGCAAGGCGCTCTCGCAAAGTTTCGATGGTCTTGTTCGCTGTTTCGAGCTTGGTGTCCTTGGTCTTGCTTGTGCTAAGTAGAGCACGGTAATCACGAGTTTGATCCTCATAAACTGTTTGTCGGTTATCCCACAACGCTTCATGTTCGCGGAACCGCTGCTCTTCTGCCTTACGAGCGGCGGCACGCTCTTGTTTGTGGGCGTCCTCTATGCGTGCTAGTTCTTCGCGCAGCCTTGAAACCTCGTCTACTGCAGTGCCTGGCATCGAGTCACTAACGTGAGTGATCTCATTCCCGAGACCCACGATTGAGCTGGGCATAGCGTGGGGTGGCTGTGGAGTGAAGCGCATCCGTTTTACCGGATCGAGTTCTTCATCGTCTAGCGGTCGTTTCAAGCGCTCAGGGGCCGGCGATTCCGTTGTCGAATCCGCTGTCGATTCCGTCGTGGATGCCTGTGAAACCTGCGTCTGAAACTCGATCACGTCCTTGACACTTCCTATAGAAGGTAAAGGCCAGTGTAAGCCCCGATCGTTGTTCTCAGCAATAAGCCACTCGGCTACTTGCGTAGCAGCGATAGGCGCCCGCGGTGTATCATTGTCAATTGGTGTTCCGACTTCTTCGCGCATCTGTGCTAGGCTTGCCAGAATAGTATGGACACGTATCCTGGCGTCAAGCGTAGACGAGATGTAGCGCTCGATGTGCCCAACCGTCCTGGGTATTACTAGATGAATGATTGGTGCAAGACCAGAGCCAGAGCCAGAGTCAGGTGCCGCAGACCAGCTCTTTTGCCGGATTTGCTCTGCTTGTTGTACACCGTCGAGACATACGATCAAGTCGGCAACGCGTATGATAGGTGAATCTCCACTCGATAACACTGTGACCTTCAAATCGCCTACGATATTCGCCGGGTTAGCCTGCTTGCCCTTCGTTGGCATGCGATACCCGATGAATTTCGCTTTGCAGAACGTCTCGATGATGGAAAATAAGGCGTCATTGTTCTGTTCAATAACAAGAACAACGTGCTTTCCATGGTCTCGCAATTCATAGAATAGTGTGTGCAAGAAACTGAATTTGATAGAGTTATTGAGTCCAAATTGCGCCGCGTGTTCGACTTGTGTGGCCGAATACGCGTCTGTTGATTCGGCTTCGGCGAAGACGAGGTCGATATGGGTCTCAACGGATTTCAAGTGATCGAGCACACCAACTATTTCACTGAAAGGTTCGAAGTCTAGCGGGTCTTTCAGAAACCCGTCCACAAGATCCTTTTTTAGCTTCATATGCTCAACATACATTCCGCGCTGGCGATTTTTGATGAAGAGGGGCACGATATACTCCTCCCTGCCAAGGGACAAATCATCGTTCAGAAGGCTCTCGTTATCATCGGCGTCGCTCAACTCTTCATCGTCAGTTTGCATGCCAGCAGAAGGGTCCAAAGGCGCGGCAAATCCCTGAATTATGTTGTGTTCATGTTCAGGTACGAGGAGGTCTTGTGGCGGCACGTCCTTGTCTGTGACCGCGTCGATGAGCGCAGTTCCCTCGTGCGTGGAAGTAGTAGCTTGGTCAGGCAGTACATTCGTGGGTTGCTCGAGTCGAGGGGTGAGGATGGGCTCTAGTTGTGTTGTCGTTTCCGACTCTTCCGCTGGAATCTCTCCATTATTCGCAAACACCACAGTTCTTAGGCTGGTCTGGACTTGAGGCACAGGTGCTCTGTCGGGAACGATTGAGGGACTTCTTGTACCTTCTAGAATCGCAGACACGGGCCTAGGCGTCGAAGCTGGCGACGCAGTCGGTCTAGCTATTGATCGTCTCGAAGGTATGAAAGGTTTGTCGGCGTGCTTCTTGTCCAATATCTGTTTGAGCCGTTGCTCGACAGACTTACTCGCATCCTGGTTCTCCATTGTAGATACGGATGATGTGGGCGCCGGCGTCGTGAACCTAGGTGGGACGTTGGACTCGAACGTGTTAAGCGAATGGCCTGGTGGATGCGGTATAGGTGACGAACTGAGTTCCACGGATTTTAGGCAACGCTCTGGCGTCTCTTGTGAGGAGTCGTGGCGTGATGATGAACGTGATCGAGCAAGGCTGTCTGTCGTGTCCTCTTGCGTGCCAAGATAAATGCCTGTTGGCACGATCTGCGCGTTTTGCTCGCGGGCCTGTGTTGATTGTCCAGTTGAGCGAGGCGGCTGCGAAGGCTCGGCAACCTCTTCCGACACAACTTGTAGCGCGTTCACTGTCTGAGCAGCCGATTCGAGTCTGTTCTGTATCGATGACGGCGATTGACCGCGAACGTGCTCAGATTGAGGTAGTCCACTAAGCAAGTCGTCCAGTCGGTTCTCTGGCTTCAACGGGCGCTGAACCAACGACTGATGCAGGCTGCGAGAATCTAGTGGATCAATTGCACTTTTATGACCGTGTACAAATGCGTCCTTCAGCCTCGCGCTAGTCTCGGCGATTGCAGTACGACTTGCAACCTTTCGCTCCCAAGAAATGCCAAGCTTATCAGTAGGCAAGATGTTCTTAGATTGCTGTGATCTCAAGTCGTGAAGTGGGAGTTGTGAGTGGAATGGGAACTGTGAAACGTCCTGAGTTACCGATTGCTCGGTCGATTGGCTGTCGCGACCAATCGTTTGGGACGGCTGAGGTCCGTGTGCCTCGACAACCGTATTTCGAGGTTCTCTTGTATTGCTCTGTTTGTTTGTGCCAACGAGCTGCTTGACTTGAGCGGGGCCGATGTCAACACCGATAAAACTCTCGTGAGGCGAAACCTGTGATTCTGCGACTAATACTTGATTCTCGTCTTGCGTGATAGATTCACTTGTCTCACTTTCTTGTCGTTGGAAAGCGACTTCCTGGGCCGCGTCCACAACAACCTCGACGGACTCAAGAAGTGTCTCCTCCTGCGTGGAACAGTCGTCTTCCTCTTGACTATCCGCTGGTACAACGGCTTGCGACGTAACCTTTTGGGCGAACTGCGGAAGACTTTGAATGTGATCAACTTGCACAGGATGCTCCAGAGGAATATTCGCGTGGCCTTGGTGCTGATCCTGCAATTGCACGACGTCCTGAGATGTGCTTTCTTCGTCAGGCGGCGCAACTTCTGCGGTAGAATCAAGTAGTTCGGAATGATCTAGGGCCGTAGTATTGTCGATCTCCACTTGGCTTTCTAAGTGCACTGCTGTCTTTGATGAAACGTCCAGGCGGACTTTGACTGCTTCGTTCTCGGCCCGAACAATGTCCTCCTGGGTAGTGGTGTCTTCCGCTTGCCACTGACTTTCTGGCTGCACAACAGGCTTTGGTGCACCTTCCGCAGAACTAAGAACACTTTCGATGCCGTTTTCTTGTAGCTCCTCTTCGACAGATGTGTGGACAGCTTGTTCCGTATCCTCACCAATCTCAATTGTGTCTGGTACCTCTCTCTCCAGCTCGAGTCCCGCGATTTCCCTTTGGCTCTGCTCGTCCTCGACACACTCCGTACCTTCGATTGTTTCAGGAATTGACAGAGCAGGCGAGGGGCTGCGCGACGTTTCTCGATCAATGTCAAGTAAGCCCGAGTCCTCCTCTTCTACGTCCTCGTGCTCCCCGCTTGTGCCTGTACTCTGTAGCTGTGTGCCAGTCGCCTGTGTCGTGAGGACGTAGCTCGCTTCGCCCGCCGAGCTTTGCGAATCCGGCACGATACCCGGAGATAAGTTGTTTCGTGATACGGCGAACAGCTGCGAGCTGTCGAGGTTGCTCTCTTGGGTTTGTGTTTGTGTGTCGGGAAGCTGCGAGTACGCGTCGAAGTCGCCTGGTTCGAAGCTGTCCCCCCTAGGAACAACTCGTACGCGCGGTGATATACGAGTCGCAGACTCACTAGGTCGTGCTGCGCGAGCTGGTGTAGAGGGTGCGGAGGAGTCAAAAGACGAGCGTGATGTGTCTGGCTCAGGGCTACTCTCAACGACAGGTGCTCTCCGCGACTTGTTCGCTACTCGTGGTGGATGTGGCGTCGGCGAGTGGGCTTCTGCCTCTGTATCCGCGTGTTGCGTCCTGGCTTGCGCCTTGCCTCTAGCACTCGCAGTGCTTCCCGATGTGGACGTTTGCGATGCACTCTCTGCTGTCTGCCTCCTCCTCTTAGCCTTCTCCTGCTTCCACGACGCGACGAGAAGTTCGTTCGCCCCTTTGGCGTCTACCCACTCTGGGTCGTAGATATTGCCAGTCTTGGGGTCAACACAGTCCCACTTGACGAGATATTGAAGTATCTTGTTTCTCCGCCTCTCTTGTAAGATGCAGTCGGCTTTGAACTCGGGTCCTTCGGTGGTGTCTTCGCTGTCACTAGGTTCAGTGTACCTGTATCGTTGTTGCGCAGTTGCTCTAGTAGACCCGCGCTTCCGTCGCTTTGGAGGTGAAGCTCTTGAAGATGGTGCGCCTTTGCGTTTGGACGACGCCATTAGACGGGTGGAGGGCACGAAACAGAATGAAGATTAAAGACTGTAGCCATGATTAGTGGGCGTTCTGCTTAACATTGGCGGAGGTTGTTGTCGGAGTGATGGTCCGAGCCAGCCGTTGACTTGCCTAGGGTTCGTCTTGACCAATGACGTCTATTTCACTCACGCGTCACGCTCGCGTTCACGTTCCGCGTATAGGTATTAATCGTGATATGAAAGAGTCGAGTTGAAACGAGTAAATACAGCAAGGCAGGCTTTGAGCTAAAAGGTATAGTATTGTAGTGCAAGGCGTGATCAACGCTGTTTGTTCGATGCGACGTTTCTCAGTGCAGCAGGTAAAGGCGGCTTGCATTCCTTCAATGCAAACGGTGCGCAGGTACGGTGTGAATAGTCACCTCGAATGATCTTAAAAGCACGGTGAAGGCAATATCACTTTGACGTTGACTCATTCGGTGTTTGTAAAGTGACCCTGCTGAGCAGTAAATCACTTGCCTGATAGAGCCAGTTCTTTCATCGGTCTAAGTCTAGCTACTCACCTACTACACCTTTACCTTTCCCTTTTTTGGTCACCGCCATTTACCTATTTCCTTGCCAGTGTCATCACTCAGATGTCTAATTCCATCTTCCCCCACGCTGCCCTCGCTGAGGCGCGCCATAACCACCTCTATTGGTGTAGTTACCACCGCCTTGGAAATTTCCTCTGAACCCACCACGTGCACCTTGGAAGCCGCCTTGATTTTGGTTGCCACCTTGGAAGCCACCTTGATTCTGTCCTCCACCCTGGTTCTGTCCACCACCCTGATACCCACCCTGATTCGGGCTATACCCCGCATTATTGCCGTAACCAAAGTTGTTCCCGTACGCGTTGCCCATCTGATTGTTAAAGTTGTACGGAATATTAGGCATTGCAGCCATATTGGGTGGCGGTGGAGGAAACGGTCCGCTAAAGTTCGGTGGTGGAGGTGGTGGTACGCCAGCTGGAAAGCTTCCAGGGCCTTGGAATGGCAAAGGAGGAGGTGGCGGGAAATTTTGCATGGGAAACTGTCCGAGTAGCTGGCTGGGCATCATAGGCGGAGGGACAAAGGGTTGCGCATTGAATGGTGGCTGTGGTGGTTGAGAGAAAGCCTGGTTGTAGTTCTGAGGGGGCTGAGGGGGGTACTGGTTGCCTGAAGGGCTATCATGACTGATGTTCCGGCTGGGACCGTTGGAGCCATTCCGCTGCGGGCCGGATTGAGACGGATCTCTGTGGTAGGGCTGCGGTGGCCGTCGACCTTGTTCACGATCTCTGCTGTCCGACCTCTGATCATGCCCGTCACGACTGTCGTAGGAAGAGCTGGACCTGCGACGGCTACGGCTACGACTGCGACTGACTCTGCCTCGTCCCCTTCCATAATCCGAGTGTGAAGACGACGGCCGACGCGGAGACGGAGAATTACGTCTTTCGGGACGCCGCTTCTGAGACACATCGCGACTCTCTTCTTTTCTCGCCGTACTTCTCGCCTCATCCATTTTCTCCATGTTTCTTGCCTCCTCCATACGCTGAACATCCTCCCGCGCCTTCTGTATAGTCGCAGGTACGCCGTGTTCTCGCATATCCTGACAGAACTTGGGCGACCATCCATAGCCATTGCACACGGTTGCCGTGTCACCCGTCTCCTTGTCCCGCTTTACCAGCTGTCCCATGGGGTCCAGCCACAGCTTGTATTTCTTCGTTTCGCCGCTTGGATTGTCGCCGGTCGGCACGTGTTTGAGGTCGATGTTCTCAAAGTAGTCGTCGAGCAACTTGCGCACATGTGGGGAGACGGGTTTCTTGTCGAGCTTGGCGACTTTGATGCGGTAGGGGTCGATTGGGCGGTGGCGATGCTTGACCATCTGATCCAGCATGTACCCAGCAGGGAGGTCGTACCACGGCGCGCTTCTGTCGCCGTGATAGTCGGGCATGAGGTAGTTTCGCTTTCGCACAGGAATGCCGCCTTGGGCTACCATCAAACTCTCATCTGCCCTATCTTGGAGCGACCTGAAGTCCTCGGCGCTGATGACGCGGTTGATGGCCCAATAGTTGAGCATGGCTCTGAGCTTCTCCTCCAGAGGCGACTGCTTGTTGACGGCGCATGAAGCTGCCAGCTCGACAAGCTCGGGTATGTACGACATGGATTCACTGCCGAAGATGCCGCTCTTCTCAGTGCTGCGCTGGTGATATCTATCAGTATGGAGAACATCGCTGACTACCAGCAAGACATCAAAGCGGTTGCGCGCTGCTTTCTTCGCTGCCGCTGTTGTCGGGGTGTGGTCCGCAAATATCGACCTGGATACGGAGACCAAGTAGTCGCCCAGTACTGTAATCCGGGCCTTAGAGGGGGCAATGTGCTTGACAATCCACTCTGTGCATTTCTAGCAATCACCATTAGTCTGCTCACAGCCGGGATATATCGTTGGCATTGTAGTCAGATACCTGAACATTCACGGCCGTATTCTGCGTGAGAACAGCATCTAAGTGAGTGAAGAACTGCGTGCTAGCATCGATGGAGACGGGCGGGAGATGCGCTTCGAGCTCCTCCTTCTTCAGCGCTTGCTTGAACTTGAGCTGCGCAATGGTCATGACGGTTTTTGCGCGTCCAGCATCATCGTTCTGCGCCATGGCTACGGACGGTAGGTAGCTGCAATATCGCAGGCGGCGGCGCACAGAAGGGTGAAAAACGAGCAGGAGGCAGAGCAACAGAGACGCGACGTTGTTTTCGAAACTCCACGAGGACGCTAGTCTAGCGCGCCTTCCTCTGCGACGGCACCCCTCGTGTTCACCAATCCCATCACTGTTTCCTCCGCCATGTCAAACGATGCCATCCAGGACGAACTCACTTCAATAAATTCAATCTTCGACGAGGGAACACTCTCGCCAATCGATGAAGATGCTAGATTGTTCAGTTTGAGGCTGCCTTCCCTCACCTCAGTGACTATACGCATCGAATTCCCTGCAGACTATCCCGACGCTCCGCCATCAATATTGGGCACACAGAGCGTAGGCCAAGATGTCCCTAAGGGAATGGGTAGTCGTGCAGTCGAGATCATAAGAGATGTTTTGGCGGAGGTGTACCGACCGGGCGAAGCATGCATCTACGACCTTATAGAAGAAGTAAGAGAAGCCCTAGAGAAAGCAGAAGAGCAAGGAGATTTACATTTATCGGATCATATGGATGAGCAACATGTAGAAGAGAAAGAACCCCAGCATCTATCGCCGGAAAACGCAGACTTAGGGCCAGAGCCACCCTGGATCATTGCACCACCCATCTCTGAAAAGAAATCTGTCTTCCTCGCGCGTGTCGCTCCTGTTTCCTCCCCATCCCAGGCCAAACAATGTTTGGCACATCTCCTTACCACCGACAAGAAAGCCGCCCGCGCTACTCACAACATGACTGCATGGCGTATCAGAGGCCCGAATGACACCAGCTATCAGGACTGCGATGATGATGGAGAGACTGCCGCTGGAGGGCGCATGCTGCACCTGATGCAGCTCATGGATGTGTGGGATGTAATGCTTGTAGTCACCAGATGGTATGGAGGTGTTCACCTTGGCCCGGACCGTTTTCGTATCATCAACACTGCGGCAAGAGAGGCGCTCGTCTTGGGAGGCTTTACCAAGGAGAGCAAGGACGGAGAGCCCAAGAAGAAAGGCAAGAAGTGATTAATCGTGCGGCAGATGTCGACTACAAATATCGAAGTTGGCTAGAAAGTGCCACAATACACAATCATCATTTTCACACACAACATAATGCTCGCCCTGCCTTCAGCCACAGCATAGCATGTCTGCATACCAGTTTCCATTCTGCACGAATAGTTTGTCTTTGGCAAGTCGAGTGGTCATGACGACACGTGAGACTAACTTGTGCATCTACGCAACCCACGATACTTTTTCGCGACCTTGACGTGCTGACGTTATACCCTGGGCAACACGACGATATGTCAGGTTAGCATAACTCCAACACCTCCTTTCCATCTTTCTCAATGAATGTTCGTTTGTTTCGATGCTGGACGAACACGACTAGTGAAACGCATTCCACGCCTTTCCACTCCATCAGCTTCGCGTAGCAGAGCAATCGCGCGATTTTCCGATCGTGCCATGAGCTCGTCTCACCAGCTCTTTTGTCTTCACTACACGTCTTCCGAGCCGCGTGTCACTTGATGAAGTTCACTGTCAGATGGCCACTCATGAGGTATATGATACAGCTCTGCTCTTCTACTTAAGTCCACGAGAGCACTACATTCGATTCCTACAATCAACTAGATCAACCTTCAGACCAACCTATACTCACAAGCTTCTCTGGAACCCACTCGCTAAGATCATGTCATATTCCAACTCCAGGTACGATTACGGCGACCCACCCCGTCAGCCTCACGGTATGGCTATGTTCCCCCCCTCAAGTCGGCGCCATACCCCTGCAGATACATCGTCTTCCCCTCGCTCAGCTTCCGTCCGACGCCCTGCTAGAAATGCCGATCTCGCCCATCGCTTCTGCCGCGCCGGCATCGAGATGTGGACGCAGCACATCCCGCCACAAGTCGCACAGCGCATCAAATCAACACCAAACTTCACCTGCCCCATCTGCCTAGACGACACCCCCAACCCCATCATCAACCTGCCCTGCGGCCACACGCTATGCAAGCGCTGCACGACCGCGCACTACGAGGAGGGTGGTCTGAACGGCGGCGACTGCGTTTGTCCCGTGTGTCGTGGCTCCATGCAGCGCATGACCGACTACAAGAACTTCCTCTTCGTGTTTGATCCCAACAATCCGAAGTTGAGCGACGCGGACTTCCAGCGCATGGTTGACGAGATAGAGCGTGTGAGGGAGCGTGGGCCGAGGAGGGATGCGCGTGCACCTGCACATGTTCCTGTTCCGAGCCATCGTGGCCAAGAGGGTACGAATATTCACGGATACCGTCAGCCGTCTGCTGCTGCTCCTCGTCTGCCGGGTGGCGGTAGTCGCCTTCCGCCTACTTCTAGTTCACGTTCTCAGTATTACAACAGCGGTTTTACCAGCGCGGGCACTGCGCCTGAGATGCAAATGGGCAGACAGACACCGTATCACTACCATGTGGATGAATCTCGACGCCCTTCTAATCGTCGCGAGACGGGCATGTACGCCTTCGATCTTGCAGAGGACCTCCTCTTCCGCACCTTTCTTCGCGGTTCAAACGATCAATTCGAGTCTCGTGGTGGAGGCATATTTTGCCTTCTCGAGGGCTTTCCATTCCCTGAGTTTCCTCGCGACCCGCATGGTAGGCAGGGCTCTCGCGACTCATACGGTCAGCAGGGCCCTCGTGGCGGGAATACCTATGGCCCCGGCTATGGACGTTACTAAGCTTTGGTCATTTTCCTTTTCATTTCATCACATCTCTTTCCTGTCTTGATCCATCTTCGGAACTTATCGGCATCTACGCGCAGTCCGCAGAGCACTGTCTATCCGGTGTTCTACGCTCCAAAATAGCATTTCCTTTTGACTCTTCTTAGAACAATATTTGTAGTGTGCGACGCTGATTTGGCCGGACTGGACTTTCTGTCTCATTGTTTTTTTTCCAGCGGTTAAAATAGGTCATCAACAATCAATATGTCACTTTCCTTCTGCGTTTCTCCGTGTTCATCCCATGCGTTCTCATATTCAATCTCCGACTTTCTTCGCGTACTTTCTTTCTGTCCCAACTAGCCATAATCCCATCGTTTCCCAGTCTGTCTTCCTCGCACATCCCCACATCCTACTCTGACTGAAAGCCTTGCGACTTTCGCCACTCAAAACATATCGTCGGGAAACTTCTGTCAGCGGCCAGAACCAGCACATCAAACCCCACATCAACACAACAAACACAACAACACAACAAGTCCAAAAAAGCGTAAAATTGAGTCGAGACAAGTCCATCACTGTCCACACACCCCAAATCAAATATCTGAGCGGGGGTATACCAAACAATGCATCCATGCACACCAAACCAAATATTCCATGCGAAAACGCCCCGAATCCGATCATTCATGTCGTTAATATTTCCCCCAATACCAAAGATCCGAAAACTCCAAACAGGCGTAACCCCGTCGCTGTCTATGCGAACTCAAATCGCTCGTCGCAGTGCTTCATCTCGCGGAAGCAGTGCGGGCACAGGTCGAGGCCGTGCGCGGATAGAGCGGCGGCTGCGCCGTGCAGCGTCTCTTGGGTTGAGGTGGAGGGTCTGGAGGAGGCGGGGGTGGGGGATGAGGAGGGACCCGCGGGTGTGGAGGGGATGGAGTCTGAGGATGGTATGTTAGTATGGTGTATGTGCGTGGGAGATGTGATGGCAAAGACGCACCTTGGAAAGTAGGCATTTCGAAGCTGGCGAAGTGTAGATTCGATTGGTCGATAATCGCGTAGAATAGTTTTGCGGGGAGAACACTGAAGTCTGGAGTTGTACGAAGATTGATATGAGATGCGGTGGTGTGATGAGGATATTCTTTGCGGAGAAGTGCCTCCCATCTACTTATACTTTTTTGCCTCGCTTCACCTCCTGTTTGAAAAATATCTACACCGAATCGTCTTCTAGGCGAGAAAAGCTCGTGCAAATTTCGTCCCGACTTCTTCCTTAGCCCTTTGTCGTGTGATATGACGCCGTTGTGGATCGTTGGTGGCGGGTCGCCTCACGCTGTCATGATCGGAATGTGTGGACCCACTGTTAGCCGCAGGCGTGCATGGACAGTAGGGCGATCATGGCCGAGGGTACGGTCCGCAAGTTGAACCGCGAGGGTCGATGCGGTAGGCAGACAAGACATGGTTGGACCTGGGAGAAAACTATTCGTCTGGAGTTACACACATTGCCAAGGTGGCAATATCGCCTGAAACCTCAACAGGCTGGGCACTAGTTAAATGGGTTACCAAATTAGTCTAACTACACCGGTACCTTTCTCAAAAACCCCAGGTATCTGGATTCTAGAGCCCCTTTGGACTGTCCCATGTGGAAGTCGTGTCACTAGGCGGACTCGCCATGCCCAACCCATAACCTTGGCTAACATCGAAGATCAGCGCGTCATGCTCCATGGGGATGGCGAACATGTTATCCCAGCCCTGCGCGTTCATCAGGTCAGGAAACGCTATCGAGGGTACTGAACTGTAGGCATCGTAAGAGCTCATGGGTATCATGCCCATCGAGGCTAGTGGTACTTGTTGTTCCTGTGTCGTCGGCAGAGGCACATGTGGATACAAAATCGGCTGGGTGTAGTCATGCTGTGGGTACGATTGCGGTTGCCCTTGAGGGTAGTTTTGCGGTTGCTGATGCGCAAAGGTCGTGGACAGTGGTACGTTTGATGCCGATGCGGTCGATTTGCCGGGATTTGCTGTCTGCGATGGTGGCGGACGCGTCTGTTGATGATTGCCAGGGGTGGCTTGAAAAGGAACTGGTGGCGTCTTGGGGCTATTCGCTCCAGTTGCTCGCATGATTTTCTCATACCATTTCTGAACCTTGCGCGTACGTTGTTCGTAGTAGACGAATATGTCTTTACTTTTGTCTCCGTCTCCTGCTCTTCCCACTAATGCTCCTATCCGCAGCACAAGATGTCGGAAGACGTGATCAATGTTCAATCGATGTCGTAAGTCTCGTGTATGAGGCTCCACATTGGGGTCTTTGCTAACAATAGCGAATTTGGCAGCAAGCGTCACACCGAACGATAACTGAATCCATTCGGAGTTGGTGAGAGCCATTTCTGACTTTGGTGGCAGCCACAAGTAGAGGTCAAGAAAGGATTTAGCACCTTCCAAGCCTTCGCAGAGGATATTCAGATGAAGTTCCGGCGAATGTTGGAGATTGCGCTCGAAGAAGGCGACTTGGTAGAGGAAGAGTTTCGCTGTATGAAACTGCATAAAGAGGAGGTCTATACAGGATTAGCCAGAACGTACAGTCACATGTAGAATCTACCTACGACTATCACTAACGTCAGAGCAGAGATAGACCCGAAAATCCTCCAGCTCTGAACGCATATTGAGATATGAAGACTGTGCGTCAGCGTCTGAGGTCGACGCGGTCGCAATCTTATCGATGTTCTCAATAATGCGCTGCAGCCGTATCACATGGTACAGGTCCTTGTCTGTCCTGTATTCGGCCTGTTGTTGCAACGCAAGGCAACCTTCTTCGATGAAGTGCGTGCATTGAAAAGTGTTCATCTTGTCAAGCAGCTTTGATATCCTGCATCTTATAAGCACCACGATCATCCTAGGTCCAGATGCGCCTTACGTTGACGATATGTAAAATATACCAGCTGCTGCCCGCTGCTCCTCTGGCCCCCAAGTCGGCGTGCCCATCTTTTCGGCGATGGGGTCTCGTTTGTTGCTCGCGGATTTGTGTCTGATGGGTTTGCGATCGAGCCGCATATCGACGGCTATGGAGATGGCCAGTTGGAGATATTGGGAGTAGTACTTGCTTCGTCCATGGTATTGATTCCTGCCTCGATCATTAGTAGAGATCGGGCAAGACTACCAATATGTTGCATACCATGCCAGTACTATGAGCAGCCCCTGGAGGTACTCCAACTGTAGGCAGTCGTCTCCGCCCAACAACACCTTCTCGCTCACCATGTACTTGAAGCGGTGGCATAGCTTTTCTTGCGTGCCCAGGTCATGAAAGGACGCGACGGATAGTATAGCAAGGAAGAGAAATGACTTGGTATGCCGTAGGTCGCTGCCTGTGAGGTTTGGGGGTATGATGACGAATGGAAAGTGGGGCATCATGTCTGTCTTGTACATCTCCACGAGCGTGTCCGCTTTTTCAAGCGAGACAAGGTCATCGTCGATAACGTCGCCATCAGGGTCTACGTTAGGGGATGTCGAGACAGCAGTGCCTTCAGGCAGCGATTGCTGGATTGTTGGGCCGGGCCTTTGCAGACGCAGAAGATCTTGGACCTGCTGTTCGAGGGCGTGTATGCGTCTGGTAGGGCTGTTAGGGCAGATACAGACAACAACAAGACGGGCAGCATACGAGTCCCGCTTGGCCGAGTTATCGCGCCGCCGGGCTGGCCGGAACACGCATTGCTTCTCCAGCCGCGCGCACCTGTCGTCGTAAGTTCTTTCCCCTTCTTACTTTTGGGGGGTCCTTCCCCACCTGTCGCAAATGTCCTGTCGTTGTGTTCGGTCGCATCGTATCTTAAGCGAGAAGCAGTTCTGGCACGTCTTGGAGATGTGCACGGCCGGCGAGCTACCCGTTGGTGGCGCGAGGGACATGACGTTTGACAGCCGGCATTTGCTAGTCCGTGTCCGTGTTCAATGTACGTACGTGTAGAGCTCGTAGAGATTGTTATCAATTCAGACGGATTCCGCCATCGTCATGCCGCTAAGCGATCATTGACCCGCCTGATTACGCCCCATTGGTGCCAGATGTGACTCCATCCACAACCTCGGGATAGCCGTTGAACATGACTCTGGCGCGTATCCAGCTTGAAGCTCTTTTCCAAAGAGCGACTAGTCGTTCAAGGTTGCATCGAGCGGCTGGCAGCGATTACGCGTACCCCGCAAACCGAAGCAATGCATGGCTGAGAGGCCTGAGAAGGATCGAGTTTTGGACATGTATGGTGAGCAGATATTCAAGCAAACAAGCACATCGTGACGACGGCCTGAACTCCGAAGGCTTAATCACACAGCATGAAGATCACCCGGGCTTTGTAAGGCTGTACTGCCGTACCAATCCTTGCCCTGCAGAGCGGATGTATACAGCCGGGTTAGCTCAGCTTTGCTGGATGACGACTTAACAGCTTGAGTTGATCGTTTGTCTTAAGTCTGGCTGTTATCACCAACCATGGCAGGATTTGGTGTGTTTACTGGAGTTCAGTCACGACTTCAGCACCATGTTGATACAAACCTCGATTCCAGGCAGTCGCATAGCATTCGAAAAGCGTCAGATTATTCACTGACTCCAGCAATCTCAAGTATGGAACACCTTTCGCCCGCCGAACCATGTTTCCACCACCTTCGCGTTGAGTAGCTCCTCGTCCTTCCACTGAGTATCCACGACACAAAAATCTGCCAACTTTCCTACCTCTAGGCTCCCAATCCTACCCTCTGCAAAGCAAGAGTACGCGGCACCTTCCGTGGCCGCACTCACAGCTTGTGCCAACTCTAGCCTGAAATTTCCGTTGACAGGCGCATCATCCGCGTCTGGTTGTCTTGCTGACCTGCGTGTGGTTGCCACGTAAAGATTTGGCAGAGGCGCATATGGTGCTGTAGGCGAGTCTGAGCCGATGGCAAGAGTCGCACCGTGGTCCGCAAAGTCTGAATACGCAAAGGCGCGCTTGAGCCGTTCAGGACCAAGCAGTTTGGGCCAAGCGCGGAGAATGGCGGGATCTGAGTGAACAGGCTGTATACTCGCAGTGATTCCCAGCTGGCCCAGTCGTTTCGCATCTTCGGGCGCGGTGAGCTCCAAGTGCTCTATACGGTGCCTCTGGCCTGGTTTACCATACTTTTCGAGTACGTTGATGGCGTTGTGCACGGCTTGATCTCCAATGGCATGCAGAGCACACTGCAGATCTGCTTCGCAAGCCTTCTTGACTACGGGGCCTAGCATCTCGGGTGTCCAGATGGGGCCTTCGAAGTGGCCGTTCGATGTGTAGGGTTCTGCGAGTGCGGCTGTGCAGGCGTCTATGACCCCATCGCAGATCACTTTGATACCCACAATCCTCAGATCTGGGCTCGTTTTAGTATTGAACTGGCGACTCAACTCAACAGCCCTCTCGACTTGTCGCAACCGATGTTCCTCTCCGTCCCCGGGCAGGATGCACCAGTGCGCTGCGATTCTCAGCGGCAGCTCGCCGCCCTCAGCTTCTCGAAGTGCAAGAATTGCTTCCCAAGCATTTTCATCCATCGCCATATCGATACATCCCGTGGTCCCGACTTCATGATAGGCCTTGATCGCCGCTCTCAATGCTGAGAACTTGTCCTCCATCGGCAAGACTTGTGCTAGGTACGGCCACACAATCAACAACACACACGCCTCACTCAACAGACCAGACGCCTTCCCATCTGCATCTCGTTCGATCTTGCCACCAGCTGGATCCTCCATACTTTGAATCCCCATTTCTTCCAGTGCTGCGCTATTACACCATACAGAATGGAGGTCTTTGGAGTCGATGTAGATGGGTCGGGAATCCAGATCATCCAACATACTGGCCTTTGCTTCGCCAGCCGTCATACTATGCATCCAACCTTTGCACAATATGCGCTGTTTGTGTGGATGTTCCTTTGCATATTTCGAGATCCGCGACCGAATCTCCGCGAGATCAACACAGTTGTCTAGATCGACCTTGTGTAGTGATTGGCCAAGCATAAGGAAGTGCATGTGACCATCGATGAAACTCGGTAGTATATGGCGTCCTTGGAGATCATTTATTTCCACACTGTCATCACGGTATGATTGGAATTCTGGAGCATCTTCGCGACCGATGAAGATGATTTTGCCGTCTTGGATGGCCATTGCAGAATGCCATTCCGCCTCTGATGATGAGTTGCCGCCATAGAAAAAACGACCGTTAGTCAAAAGAGTGATACTCATGGTTGGATGTTGAAGATGTCGACTTTGAAGGGGAAGGTTCATATGAGTGGTCTTATCTGATGGACTAAGATCCGGTATCGGAGATCCGAAATAAGGCCGTCACGAACCGCTTACTTCTAACGTCTTGGCTCGGAAAATAACCCTATCAACGGTTGTATTCACTGACAAAGTATACCTTGGAAGTAAGGCAATGCATCACTCTGACTGTTCCTTGAGAAATACCATCAGAGCGAAAGTCCACCCACAACCTCCAGCTTCTAAAGTTCACCTGAGATACACAAATGCGATTAATCAAAATCTGAATTGCAACAGAACAACTTGAATCTCAAAACCCAGTCTAGAAATAGACACAGACGGTATCTCTGGGACAATGGAGTTCTTAGCAGTCATTTCTCCCGCGATGTCGAACTTCGTCTCTCCTGGGGTCTGCATACGGAAACATGCTTCGAAGCAAATCATCCGCGAACTTCACTGACTACTGCCGAGTAGGAGATGAGCCTCTCAAAAAAGAGGTGGGGATGGCCAGCGTATAACAACGGGGCGAGCATGCTATTTGGCAGCGAACAAAACACAAATCTAGCTAAGGAACGCCCTTGCAGTTTTTATGAAAGAGTGGAGTTGACGTTGAGTGGGTATATACCTTACCATTTTGGCCACACAGCGGTATGGCTTCCTAATTGGTTAGACCCAGCGCCTCGTTTGGGTCATTCCTTTCTTAAGCACTCCATTTTGCTTATGATGTCAACGAAATAAACTCCAATGTGACTGGATTTATGTAGGCAATTCTGTAACAAGTTGGTACATAATACTAAAGTCTCGCTATAGGCAGAGGCTTTTACATCCGCGCCCAATTAGCTAATTACTGGCAAGAACTTGGTGGGTAAGCAATCTTGGATCTCCCAATGCTTTCTGAATAAGCACGCGCATACTGCAATCAGTCACATAAATGCAGGACAGAGCTGTCACGAATTGATTGATTGATTGATCGTCCTCTTTCCCAATCGAGATTATCACAGTACAGGCTGTTCGATCGTATGATTGTTCGCATATCTCATGCAGTAAGCTAGACCTGATTGGGCCATGAGGCATCCATCTTTGTAGGGTTCAATTAAAGTTTTGCCAGATTAATTCTGGGGCAAGGGGTTTGAGGAAACGATCTTCCCGTCGCTAAATGCATGGTATGACTACTTCACAAGTTCCGACACACTACATTTCCAGGAGTTGTCGCAACAAGTCGGACTCAATCAGTCGGGCTTCAAGAGTTACAAGCTGGGAAGTAACGAATGGAGTTAATTAACAGCTTTTGTATCAGGGTCAATGATAGTGGTGTCGGAAGATGCAGTCAGACGGCGATCCACGCCAGCTTGTCATCTGTCAGCAACCCACTGCAGGCAGGCTGAACGGTGGAGCGTCTCGCAGTGTGCATTTTCCATCAGGGTTGTCATGCAGTGTGCCCACCCAGACATCAAAGAGATTTTGCAGGTCAACATAAATTGAACGTCTGGCGAGATATTTGTCCCAGCATTCGCTTTACCATTCCCATCATCAGGAACATGGCCGAACTTCCTACTCGAGCTTCTGTCTCCTGGATATTGTTAACTACCGGCATAGCATACCTGCTCTTCAAACTCCTTCGATTTGGCCGTCGAGAGAAGTATCTACCGCCCGGCCCTCCAACGATACCAATCCTAGGAAATGCGCACCTGATCCCAGCGAAGAACATACATCTCAAGTAAGGATGCCGACTGATGTTTGAAAAGTTTTTCCGACGCTGACGTGTGCTGCTAGGTTCAAAGAATGGAGCGATAAATACGGCACCGTTTTCTCTCTCAAAGTCGGCAGGTCAACAATCGTAGTTCTCAACGATCGGCGCGCTGTTCACGACCTTGTCGACAAGCGAAGTGCAATCTATGCTGATCGACCGGTCGACCATCAGTTGTTTCTCGCTCTACGCAATGAGAACCTGGCTTTGATGCCGTCTGGAGACCGGTGGCGGTCGAGTAGGAAAGTAGCTTCCCAGATGTTGGCGCCGCAGAGATTGGACGCAGGGCTTGCTGCGATCCAGGAAGCCGAGTAAGACCTTTCCCTGGCAGTGGTGGGAGGTTGAATTCTAACATTAGGTAGGATCACTACGCTAATGCACGATCTGCTTGAAAAGCCAGCTGAGTTTCGATCGTGTATCAAACGGACGACTGGATCGGTTGCAAGTATCATGATATTTGGGAATCGTGCCTCTAGCTGGGATAGCTTCTGGGCTCAGGTGAGTGGGTTTTCTCTCCAATCTTGAGTGTCACAACTGACGATCGTAGGCTTCTTACATTGTCATGGACCCGGTAAGACACATGCCATCCTGAAGATTCCATTGACAAACGCTAAACCCAAATCAAACAGTTGACGAAAGCAGTGGAACCAGGTTCATATCTACCGGTTGATCAGTTCCCGTTCCTCGGACTCATACCTGATCGATGGAGTCCGGCGCGTCAACTTGCCAAGGAGACCTATCGCATCGGGACTGGAACCTGGACCGAGGCGCGAGAACGTGTAGAAACGCGGCGTAGCAAAGGAGACAAGCGAGATTCCTTGATCGATCGAATTCTGGACGAGAAGGTCAAGTTTGATGTGCCACTGAACGACACGCAGTTCAACAACCTCCTGGGGGCTGTACACATGGGCGCATCCGACACGACAGCCACGTCTACTTTGACTACTATTCTTTACCTGGCTAAGAATCCCGAGGTTCAAGAGAAGGCACGAGTCGAGCTGGACCGCGTGTGTGGAACAAGTCGAACGCCCAAGTGGTCTGATTTCGATCAATTGCCGTACATCAACTGTATCGTGAAAGAGGGGTTGCGCATCCAACCAGTGTATGTTACACAACCTATATCTCTCTTGTCGATGCTGATATCACCTTGTAGCATCCCACCAGGCGTCCCCCACCGTGCGACACAAGACGACTGGTACAACGGCATGCTGATTCCGAAAGGCGCCACTATCTTTGTCTCGCCGTACGCACTTCACTACAGTATCTATTCCGACCCCTCAACATACAATCCCGATCGATTCCTCGACCGCCCCAAGCTCGCAATGGTATATGCTGGCAGCCCCGACTACGAAAATCGTGACCACTATGCGTACGGTGCCGGCCGACGTATCTGCGTAGGAATTCATCTCGCTGAACGCATGCAATGGCGTATAGTTGCGCAGTTACTCTGGGCGTTCAACATCGAACCTGCACTTGATGAGAAAGGGGAACCAATTGAGCCTGATACGACAGCGTACGATGCTGGCATGGTACAAGTTCCGCTGCCTTACAAGATGAGGTTTACGCCGAGAAGTGAAAAGCATGCGGAGGTTGTGCGTAGAGAACTTGGAGATATCGAGCAGCTACTGAAGGAGTGGGAGTGAAAAGACATGCTCATGTAACACGTCTCGAGGTAGTTCAATGATTGAACTTATGATGTAATCCACGCTGAGTGGGTTCTTGCGCCCGGGTACCTATAACCTTTTCCCCAACGAATCAAAATTATCGCCCATTGTGCTCGCGAACGACATGTTTATGAGACAAGGCAGATGAAAACAACAAGTGTTGGGCTCACCGACTTTCAGTCGTGATTGCGTCTCCAACCCAAGCACCATTGCGCAACGCACGAGTGGTCCCGGGGCCGTATCTTCCGGGTCCACCTCGATCCTTCTCAACGTCAGGATTTGCTGCTATTCGTTCGTAGATATTTGATAAGCGATGAGCAGACGGCCAGTGCGTGTCGGCTACGATATCATGCGCATCATGCCTTCAACAACTACCTTTTTCGACTGTCCTTGCATATCAGATGAACTGACTTCATCCCTTACATATTCCATCGCCGAATGCTGCTCTTCCGATACGTCGAATCTAACGCAAGGGTTTGGCGTTGCGATTGCCCATGTGTTAGCACGTTCGCAGTTCGTTGTTGAATCCACATCTCAAGGTCAGGTGCGGTGCTGGTGCTATCTGCAAACGACCCTAATCATTTGGTAGATTGAGTTAGTATTGATGTTGTCGCTTCGCGATTCCAAATTGACCTCGTAATGGTCGCGTTTGATATCGAGGGAGCGAAATGCGGCACAGCCATCTGAGGATTTAGGGCATCCCTTGCTGAAGAGCAAACATCCCCACAATCAAGGGTATTGAGCAATGGTATTGAGTAGTGGTATCTCGCTGTGTGCTCACGGCGCGGTGACCTTAGAATCAATATATTCTGCTCAATTGGAAGGCATTGTCGTCTTCCTTTGTTCGAACATCTCCTGAGCAACAGACCATCGAACATCTTATCTTTTGTTCCTCGGCGTTCCAGACACACATTATGGCCATCTCAGTTATAACCAGCGCGACGAAAGACCATCGACCAGAGCTTATCAGACGCGTTCGTGGACAGACAATCGAAGTCCCAGATTTGCTGTTGATCTACGCTGGCTGGATTGTGCAGAAACACGACACCACAGACCAACTCCGTCACAATCTCGAAGAATGGCTTAAGACATATGTGCCGACCGAGAAGGAACGCACGAAGCAACGTAAAGTCGACAGTGCTTTCTGCGCCGGACATTTTTTCGGCCGAGTGCCCACGGACAGATTCAAGATCCTCGGGTCTCTAGTAGCCTGGTTTTTTTTCTGGGACGACGAAGTCGACTGCGGATCTCTAACTGAGGACCGTGAGAAAGCCGAAGCGTACTGCGATGATGCCATGACTTTCATTCGAAGTTGCCTCCAGCCAAACATGTACAATGAACCTCCGGCTCCAGGGCGGTTGCACAACTCTGGACCCTTTGTTGAGATTGGAAGGGCCATGCAGACGGGTCAATCGATGGAAGACCGGGACAGGTTCGCGCGATCGCTTTACGAGTACCTCGAATCGGTGCGCGCTGCTCAGGCTCAGCGACTACGGGGGTTTCCAGCGTGGAGGACTATATTGAAGGTCGACTCGTGTCTGTTGCGTGTGAGCCATGCCTCACAATCATGGCATGGGCCTACGAGCTGTCGCTACCCTCGTGGATATGGAAGCACGAAGCAACTCTACGCCTTTTTCGTGAGGTTTCGATGGGCTCCTTTCTTTGCAACGACATCGCCTCGCTTAAGAAAGAGATCGACGACAACGAGATCGACTCCCTCGTGCCCATCTTGATCTACCACGAGGGCCTTACCGCTCAAGAGGCTATTGACAGGGTGTCTAACATGGCTGTGCTCTCGTGGCAAGATCTCCTTGATGCGGAACAACGTCTGAGGATAGCGGTTGGCGGAGAAACTGAACGAGTGCAGCGCGACGTCGAGCTTTTGATCCGTGGTTGCAAGGATATCCTTGTCGGAGGGCTTATTTTCACCTTCCACGCTCCCAGGTATCTTCCAAAGACTGCATTCGATCGGGACGGGCGCAAGTTCAAGGTTGTGTTGTAAAGTTTTTCTCCAGAATCTTGCCTTTTGAGAGGAATGACATACTATCTTTGTTGTTTTAGAATCGATACGCATACCACGTCATACCACACGCATGACTCGTGACCATCATGAAAAGACGACCTCGGCAACGCGGGGAAGTGGAGACCCCACAAACCCCGGGAATGATGTTTCAGATTGAGTCCTCGAACTCTAGTTCAACGACAGGCTTCACACAATAAGCACAAGCATATCCTAAACGCGCCACATGGCCACAACCGCAGCCTCAGCCGACAAGGCTCGGCATGTCTTGGTAGTCATTTTGAATACGGGTTTACTAACGTTAACGTCACTTTTGGGGCGGGGTTCGACATGGATCTGCAATTCCTCCGCGTGACATCCCCGCGTTTCCTCCAATCGGTGCCATCAATGAGATTGACGTACCTGCATATTTCGGGAAAGCAATACCTCGAGGTAGAATTTTACCAAGAGTTGAGGCGAAAGCGTGTGGAGATCGTGAACGGAAAAGGCTCTGCCAGGCCGCCACGGAAAATTCGCGCGCGAGGATGGAGTTGGCGGTATACAAAAGGCCGCCGTAGATCCCACTTCTGTTCTTGGCCAGCACATTCTCTTGAGTTGTCAAAATGACTCGTCTAAAGCAGATTCTCGTTGCTGCTGTGTGCGTTGCGTCAGCCAGCGCCTATAACATCAATGTGCAATCTTCTGGGGGCAACCTCACTGGAAAGTTCGGGCATGAATATGGCTATGGTTTCCTCCATGAGGTGAGTTGATAGTTTGGTGTTGTGGCCTTAGTTTATCGTGTTGCTGACTTCAGAAGGATATCAACAATTCGGGTGATGGCGGAATCTACGCTGAGTTGATCCAAAATCGGGCATTCCAGTACAGCAAGGCGTTCCCAGTCTCCACGGCGCATTACTACCCCATCAATGCAAACCTTAGCATCCAACAATTGGAGAAGCCACTCTCGGCAGCTTTGCCCGCCTCCATGCGAGTAGCAGCCAGTAATACTACTGGGAAAGTTGGCTTCGAGAATGAAGGCTACTGGGGAATGGACGTCAGGAAACAGAAATACACGGGATCTTTCTGGGTCAAGGGCGCGTACAAAGGTCACTTCACTGCTTCATTGCAGTCAAATCTGACCAACGAGACATTCGGGGCAGTCCATGTCAAGTCCAAGGCTGTCGCGAATGAGTGGACCGAACACCAGTTTGAGCTTGTGCCTAAGAAGGATGCACCAAACTCTAACAACACATTCGCCATTACTTTCAATCCCAAGGGCACTACAGCTGGTTTCTTGGACTTCAACCTGATCAGTCTATTCCCACCTACATACAAGGGCCGAAAGAATGGTCTCCGTATTGATATTGCAGAGGCTCTCGCTGACATGAACCCTGTATGTCTTTTTATTTCGAACACTCAATATCAATTGTAGGGCTAACATTATTTGCAGCACTTCCTCCGCTTCCCTGGTGGCAACATGCTCGAAGGCCTTACAAACGATACTCACTGGGATTGGAAAAACAGCTTAGGTCCTCTCAACGAGCGTCCCGGTTTCCAAGGTGTCTGGACCTACCAGCAAACAAACGGCCTTGGAATGATGGAATACCTTGAGTGGGCTGAGGATATGGACATGCAGGCTGGTAGGTGTTGGAGTGTCGACTCTGATGTATCAAGCATTCTAACAAATAATCAGTTATTGGTATCTGGGGCGGTCTAGCTCTGGATGGCAACTACACACGTCAAGAGGACTTGCAACCGTTCATTGACGACGCCCTCAATGAGATCGAATTCGTACGAGGTCCCGCCAACTCCACATGGGGCGCGCGCCGTGCGGCACTTGGCCACCCCGAGCCCTTCGAGCTCAACTATGTCGAGATTAGCAATGAAGACTGGCTCGCCGGCTACCCTGGTGGATGGGAATCGTACAAAGCCTACCGCTTCCCCATGTTCTACGACGCCATTATGGCCAAGTACCCCGACATTCAAGTCATCGCGTCTTCTGCTAGCAGTGATCCCGCCCCCGAGGGAGCAACGACTGGCCCCAACTACGAATTGGGTCTCAACTTCTCGCGCACACCCAAGGCTATCGGCGACTACCACCCCTACCGCGAGCCAGATGACCTTGTCGAGGAATTCGACCGCTTCGACAACGACATTGGCCACATCGTCGGTGAAGTCGCCGCAACCCATCCTAACGGCGGAACACGCTGGGCCGGCCCATTGCAGCCATACCCATGGTGGATCGGCGCGGTCGGCGAGGCCGTCTCGCTCATCGGCTACGAGCGCAACTCAGACCGCATCCCAGGAACCTTCTACGCGCCTGTGCTCAAGAACGAGAACAGATTCCAGTGGCCCATCACACTGATCCAATTCACCGCCGACCCAAAAATGACCACCAAGGCTGTGACGTGGTACTGCTGGTCGCTGTTCGCACACCACCCCATCTCGAACACCCTGCCAACATCGTCGAACTCCAGCTACGGCCCACTGTACTGGGGTGCGGGTGTGGACCATGCTCGCAATGACGCCATGGTCTGGAAGGGCGCTGTTTACAACACAACCAACAGCAGTGTTGTCCCCGTGTCGGTGAACTTCCAGGGTGTTACGGCTGGTACCAAGGCTGCGCTCACTCTTCTCACAAACACGGTCGCAGATCCGTATGCGCACAACGACCCCTTCACGGGCGTCAACATCGTCAACACAACGAAGAGCATCTTGACTGCTGGGTTGGGCGGCGTGTTCGAGTTCAGCATGCCTGAGTTGAGCGTCGCGGTGCTGGACACAGATAGTGCCGGTATTGAAGAGGAGTAGAACAGACGTGGGAATCTGTGGCAGTATAGATGTATAACAATGAATGTTTAGTCACATCTTGTCGCTCCTCTGAGTCTTTGATCAGTGAAACTTTTATTCATTTACACAAAAGCCCAATCTTCGTAGATATACACATCTCGTCCTCCTCTCCCATCTAATGCCCCGAAACCCTCGAAAAGCACCTCGCCCCCTTACACTTCAGATCGAAAAACGCCATCAACACATCCGGCTGATCAGGAATATTATGCGTGACGTTAGCAGCCTCATACGCCTCAACCTCCCTCCCATACCGCGTCCTCGTCCAGCCCACCTGCGGCGTATCCCGCTTAGTCTCCGTTGGGATCTCACTAACGCCCAACACGGTAGTCCACTGCTTGATCTCCTCCCTGAAATTCTGCGGGTACAGTGTGGTATCGTTCGTGCCGTGCAGGATCTGCATCTTCGGCCTGAACCCCTTGTACCCGGGATACGCCGCCTTGACGAGCGCCGCCCACTCCTTGCCCGTCTTGACGATCCGTCCCTTAGCGCAGTCGTCGTTCCAAACCGTATACCCGTTGCCTGCGAAACATCCAAATGGCACGCCGGCGAAGGCGCTGCCGGCGGCAAACACATCGGGGTAGCTGCCCACCAGGACGTTTGTCATCATGGCGCCGGAGCTGGTGCCGGTGACGAACACGCGGTTCTTATCCGCGCCATACTTCCGCAGCGTCCAGCGCACCATGGACACGATACCGAGGGCATCCCCACCTCCTTCATGTGTGAGGGATTGATTGCTGCTGACGTCCCAGCAGTGACCTGGGTCTGCGGAGGAGGGGTAGATGGAGATGAAACCGTATTGATCACCGAGGGATGCGTAGGGGCGAGAGGCGAAGACTTGCGGGCCGGTGCCCGTGCACCAGTGGGGAACGACCATTATGGGCGCGTTTTTGGGCAGGGGAGAGGGGACGTAGATGTACATTGATACATTTCGGGGGTTGGGGCCGAAGTTTGTGATTTGGGTGAGGTTGGAGGATAGTTGGGCTGCTATTGCAGAGGCGAGGAGGGCGAGGTTGAAGAGCAACATGGTGGGTGGTGGATTGGTCGTCTCTGGATAACATCTGCCATGGCGTTTGAGAGCTCTTTATACCTTGCCTTTTGTTTATGATGTACTTACGCATGGATGTGAACAGGAGACGTCAAATTTACTAGTCCTTCGGTCTGATTGGTGCGTTGGTCGGGCGTTCGGCATGATGCTCCTGTTGCTTGCGTATATGTCAGCACAAGCTGCGTAGAGTTTGTTCTCCTTCACCTGTCTGAGCGCGGAGAGATTGTAGTACTTTCGAGGTAGATGAAAACCACTATAACGTGTTCCCCGCTCGCGTGGCAAAAGTGGTCCTTTCCTAGCAGTTCCAGTTTTTCGTCTGACCCAAGTGGACCGACCATTAAGCCTGATTGCCCTTGTAAGACGACACACACAGTATGAAGGATCGTAGTCGATCATTACTCGAGTCAGTGTATTGTCGCAATTCAGGCTAAACACATCAACTAGAAGATGGAGAAGGTTCGCACTTTTATCAAATTTGAATGTGCCATATGTTTTGCTCCTTTCATCCAGACCAATTGGCTAATGTCTGTATTTGCGACGACGATGCAAGGTGATGAGTCTTGCATTCAGTATTAGCAATCGACTTCAATCGTAGCAGAAACCCCTCCCCGTTATACAAAAATGATGTAGTTCGCACTCGACCCATCGTCACTGCATAGACTAGCACCGGTATGTAGAGGAGATACCAGATAAGCCTTGCAGTGAAGGACGACTAGGTAAACGGTAGCTGGTTGCTGCTAGCGAGGACGGAATTGGATGAGGAACAAATTGGGAGGATGTTGTTAGTTTCCGATCAAATCTTCCATGTATCGCGCTGGGATCCAGATGGCAGGATTTCGACAGACGTAAGGATCAATACTGTTCGCTCCCATCCCGGCTCCGGAAATCCTGCCTCAGCGCGACAACTCCATTCCACCTCCCCAAGAAACTCCCACCCTTGTGAGCTCATACACGACCAACCGCAAACGCAGAGCCCAGCTTCAACCACCTCGTCGCTACCAACGCAACAACACCAAGACTCATGACCGCTGCACCGCACCACCAAACACCACGGAAGTTCTGCACTGTATCTCCTCCGACTCCCTTGACTGCACCAGCAAGCGGGTTCCCGATAAGTCCGCCAAAAGCTGCGACGAGATACGCGAGCCCTAGTCGAACTCCCATGTCTGCATTACTTGGGGAGAGGTCGGTGATTGTAGGTCCAGGGATGATGATGACGCCACCGGAAAGGAAACCGTACACGATGCTGATGGCGATCAGAGAAGGTAGTGTTTGCGCCAGGGGAAGCATGCAGAGCGTGATGATGCACGCTATGCTGAGAGGGAGGAGGGTGTTCACTCCGCCGTATCTGTTGCTTGTCAGTTGTGCAGATAAGAGTTCATTGTTCAAGTACTCACCTATCAGCGATGTAGTTGGGCACGAATCGGCCGAAGATGTTGGCGGCGTTCATGATGCTCAGGAGATTGAAGGCCATGTCAGTTGACACTCCAAGATTCAGCGCATACTCCTGAATGAAGAAGAACGGGACGAATGACGACGCTACGAAGAGCGTGAACGCACACACAAAGGCCGTGTAGGGCAGATCTTTGAAGTGGTGGAATCCAAACTTCGAGCCCTTGGATCCGTATTGGAGCTGGAGTCGCATGACGAGGAAGGCAACGACATTGGTAGCCAGGATAACGAGCGCGAGTATGCGAACAGCCCACGAGAAGCCGACGCTGACGAAGAGGGACCGCATGGCAAGCGTGTAGGCAATTCCGGCTAGGCACAATTAGCCACTTATGCAAGCAAAAAACGAAGGCAAGTCTCTTACCAACACTGGCACCCGTCGACGCCAGCCCAGTCGCCAACATCCTCTTCTTCTCAAAGAACATGGCCAGGATGGCAACAGGAATCAACGCCAAAAACCCACTCCCAATACCCATGCAAACTCCTTGGGCGAACAGGATTGGCCAAAAACCCTTGAAGAATGAAGTAAGGATGAGTCCCAGAACCTCGAGGATGGTCCCTGCTGCAATGAGGCTTTTAAGATATCCACGGTCAAGCAACACGCCATTTGGAAGACACCCGATAGTCGTGAAAAAGAGCTGAACCGATCCAATCCACGCGATTGTGGAAGCGTCCTGCTCTGGCATCAAGGTGTCGACATAATACGTTTGGAACACTCCAAAGGCATTGGGAAGACCCCTGCAAGTGTCAAAAATTGTATTCGCTGGAAGTTTGGGATGCTCACCAACTGTTCATAAATAGGATGAAGCCGCCCAGAACTTGTATCCACGCCACATAGCCATGATCAACCGGGTAGTCTTCATTGTTCTGTGGCCGGGAAGTAATCTCATGCGCGGGTGGTTGTGAACGCCTCTCGTCCGTGCGACTTCTCAGCAAAGGTTGTGTTTCGTTTGGCATGTTTTCTGAATTGTTTCTATACCAAGCTGCAATCGGAAGAGGCCGAATTTCAGAGGACAAAGGTACTTATACCCTGTCTACAACCCAGACATCGATCGGTGATGTTAGCATGCTGTTGGTCATACCGCTGCAGGTACGGGCACGTTAAGCGAGAATGAGGAAAGTGTACCTTAAAAATCAGCCGCTATTTTTGCTAGGTGATTGACTACGTCATTGCTCCGAGCACTAACACTACCAAGGCACATTCTTTTGTGGAAGACTCGTTCATGACTGGAAGTAACGTACACACGCGATCATACTCACCGAGTGTTATTTTTCATTTTGCCTCTTAGGAATTGGGGGATTCAGCAAGATCCAGTCCTGAAAGGAAAACTGCGACGCATTAAACCAAACTAAGACTGATGAACGTTGTTAGTCTACATTTTCGACTACGAATCCCACGCTTGAGAGACACAAACAACGAGCAAATAAGTCTACAGATAACCAACACAGGTATTGAACCTGAAGATAGGCCTTGAAGACAACACAACTCGTCAAAATCCAAAAACTTCAATCTAAAGTAAGCACCTCAGCCACATTGAGCAGTCGCCTATCTTATACTTTCTAAGAAACGGGTATCTCCTAATATTCTTCTCTATCGTAGTACAAGTTATTACTTTTTACTTTTGCACGCTCTGTAACTCCAAATCTACCATCACTGTTCCTTACAACAAACCTTCTACCCCTATTCCACCCCCCTTCCACATCCCCCCCAAATCAAACATCCGCCCACCTAAACCCCCCAAAGCAACCACATCTC